AGTTCCACGTGTTTGCCTCTTCAATAGGTCGCAAAAAAATAAATATAGATCATTCAAAACTTCAATTGATCAATTATTGTTAAAATTTTGTTAAAAATCATTGTGTTCGCCTCTTCAATGGGTTCGCCGACGTAGAAGAGAGAGAAGGCAGAGACGGGCCCAATGGCGCATCTCCTTCGTCGCCGGTTGCAGTGGGTCGCCGCGTCGAGAAGATAGAAGGAAAGACGGGATTGGAAGGAGAGGAGGAAGAGATGGTTCTGAGCATTCCCGCATTTTCCAATTTTTGGCCCCTTTTTTCTAGCGTTTCCCGTGTTTTCTAACTTTCGGGCGTTTTCACAGAAAACGTTCAAAACGGTGGAAATATCATTTTCTGTTCTCAGTACACAAAATTTTTTTGTTTTCAAAAACACATTTTCGAAAATAGGAAAGAGAACGCGTTTTCACTATTTTGAAAAATCGAAAACAGAAAACGGCTTGAAAACGACAAAGAGAACAGGCCCTTAATTTTGCTACTATTTTTTGCTGTTTAAAAAGTTGATGACCAATTTTCCAATTAGGACAGCCAGATGAAGCAGAGAGTCTAAAATATTGTAGTTTTCTGGACATATGGTGCATTATTTGACCAGTTCCCGTGGAGATTTTTGTTGGGATTTAAATGGAGTTACATGACAACAGTAACTTGAAATTAGAGAACTTTTTGTCTTTTTGAATCATTCTAGAAGTTCTGGAAGAACTATAACTACATGGAAAGTTGATCTGTTGATTGTGATGATACCTAAATTTATAATTTCTAGAAAAAAGGAGGCTGATCTTTAAAACTCAAATTAAATATAGCTAGAGCTGTTGTGTAAATTCTCACACTTGTTATAAAGTCTTAAAAGGCATTTTCCTATACATAAGAAAGGTTTCTCGGTGGTAGCGGGATCTATTCATAGACTTTTATGAACTATGCATGTTGAACCGTTGACATTTGGGGTATTTTGTGAACCTCATATTTGGGAGATGGGCTGAAATCTCTTTTGACATGGCTTGAAGTTTTTTATGTTCAGGTCACTAAAAAAGTTTTAGTAAATTAAGATTATGTTTACTGAAGTGGAATTTAAGATTTAGTTGGAACACTATTTTTTTTGGAGTCTAAACTCTTGTGGACCCACCCGATAATGGATCAACTTTAGACATATCAGTTGACAAGCTTCATGTCTACCTCAATCTTGACATCTTTTCTTCCTTTGCCTCTCTTCGATTCCCAGTACCGAAATATTCTCTTTTCTGGAAATGAACTTAGATTCGATTACTTATCTGGTGCCTATGTGTTCAGTTTAAATATATAACTAAATATCAGAATTGATGTGTATGATAAGAATTCTTTTCAACTTTGCTACAATTCAGAATGAGAAATCCTGGAGCAAATACCAGAGGCCTATCTGTTATCAGAATCGACATCTACAATCTGCTTAAATGAAAATGACTGTGTGAATGCTACCTTTTATAACAATTATATCTTCCTTCCACTGATCTTATTCTCTATGCACAAATCTTTTCCATAGATATCTGATGATTTAGAAAGTTTAAAAACGGAACATGAAAGCAAACTTGAAGATCGAGAAAATTTTGTTGAGCAGAGTACCAGTTTTATTGAAACCATCAGAGAGGAACATTCTGCATCTTCACCACTATTAGATCGCCATGTTGTAGAAAAGGCTGAAGGAACTTCAGACACATCGTATGTGTCTATACGTACCGAATCAGATAGGGTCAGAAAGAGGGTTATCACTCCACCTGGAATTGGTCAAAGGATATATGAGATAGATCCACTTTTGACCAATCATCGTGATCATCTTGATTACCGGTAAGCTTCTTTTCAGATGTTTTAATTTGAACTGATGTGTAGGATAGAGTTAAAATTTTTGAGGTGCACAATATAGTTTAAGCTCTTGAAGTTTGGACATACGTGTAATGGTGTTTGTGTGAGATAATCTCACAGTTTGAAACCTCAAAGTTCGCTATAATATTTTCTTGTTTTAGAAACAGTCATCAATTAGCATGTGTTGCTAGAAGCTTTTAGCAGTGCCACTCCTGTTAGTTGCATCCAGAAGTACATCAATCTGTTTTGTCATCACATATGTTGTTCATTTACAGGTATGGACACTATAAGAAAATGCGTGAAGCAATTGACAAGTACGAGGGTGGGTTAGAAATGTTTTCTCGTGGTTATGAGACATTTGGTTTTACTCGCAGGTAATATTACTTAACTCTATGAGCACTATTGTTTTCTTCCTTTTTTCATCATATTACTTACATGGAGGTCATCCTAGTTGACAACTGAATGCAGATGGTTGAACAAAAATTCTGTTGTGCAATTTTGGCACATGCACTTTAATAATACATTTCGTAAAGCTGGTGTCTCCTTAAATTGATGATTTGAATTATCTTCCAGAATTTGATATCCAATATTTTGTTTTTCCAATTGAATACATATTTCTTGTTAAGATTGATATTATGACGAGGTGTTCCTCCCTACTTAAATTAAACATGTCATACTTGAAAGGATTGCAGCCACCAAGGAGTTGAAATTTATGTTCCAAATCGAGTAGCCAGGGCTTTGAGTTATGTTGACCAAGAATGATTTCCTAATAATTCATTTTTTGTAAGAGGAAATATCATTAATTCTCTTTAGATCCAATGGCTTGATAAACTTCTGATTGTGTTTTTAAAGTTTTCTTATGGGAAAGACTCAAATGTTGGTATTACACCATCTTGAATTATGTGAAGTGCATGTGATTTTGTTCATCTAAAATTGAAATTCATAGATGTTTATTGCTTCAAGGACTGGACAGATCTTTGTACTGTTATATCTTCTTAAAAGGAAGTTGAATTTTGCACAAGTAGTCCTCCAGTTGTGGTTAATAGACATTTCTATACTAATGCTATCTATATTTGTATTGGTAGTGCGACAGGAATAACTTACAGGGAATGGGCACCTGGTGCCAAGGTTAGTACCATTTATTTCTTTAATTTTGAGCAATATTCTTCTTCCTCGCTATAATAATTCTCTTCTCAAATAGTTTTCTTTAACAACTATTCATGGAATTGAGCAAGCATTTACTTTGTATCTGGCTAAAATTTCTCTTTATGTAAAATGTTTCTTGTTCTCTTGGAATCTCGTTTAGTGCACATTGGTGTTTTTTTCCTTCTTGGTCTAGTCTGTCTGCCTGTTGGCTTAATTTGGTTGGTTGCTTCTAGTTTGATGTACTAGAAACATTTTAGAGGGGTTTCAATGAGTTTGGGGAAATCTTACTACCCCTGTTTGACAGCCTTTNTTTTTTTTTTTTTTTTTTTGTGTAGAATGAGTTTTTGAATAGTAAACTTTTTGGAGAATGTGTGGTTAAAATGTCAGAAAAATTTTTGAGTTTACATGAAAAATATTTTATTTTGAGAATGTGTAGTTGAAAATAAGTATGAGAAAAAAATGAGTTTTGAAAGAATGGTTGTCAAATAGGGGCTAGATTGCTTATCTAAAAAATTCGGTTTGGATTTATATGCATTGTACTTTACATTACTAGTTCGGATATTGTTCACATTTTGTCTTGAATAAAACCACGGTTTGTTTCCTCTTCCCCCTCTTTTTGTTTAGAGGGTCAAATATGTTGTTATTTTCTTGTGAATTGGTGTAGTTGAACTGTTACAACGATATTTACAATTCTTATAGGAAAAATAGCATCATACATCCCCAAACTTTAACATTTGTTGCACCTTGGTCTCCAATCTTCAACATGTAGCATTTACATCCCCAATCTTTCATTTCAATAGCACTTAGGTCCCCATTGGTCAATTTTATCATTGTCTCTAATTAACAATATAATTTTTTTTTAAAAAAAAGTATTGGTATTACCGTTTTCTTAAAAATAAAAAATGAATAGAAAACAAGAAAAAATAAATTCTTCTTCTCCAAGCCACCCCGACCCAAGCCACCTCTTGTCCAAACAACTATTGCAAATTATTGCCAATCGCTTTGACATGGCCTGGGGAAAGTAGAATAATTATTTTTTCATTCTTGTTTCTATTTAATTTTTTGTTTATTTGAAGATAATAATAAAACTGTCATTTTAATAAAGTTTTAGCCTAAGTGCTACTGAAATGAAAAATTGTGGATGTAAATGTTCTGTTTCAAATAATGGGGACCAAGGTGCATTGCGTGTCCAAGTTGGGGGACCTTCGCTACTATTTTCCCAATTTTGTATGGTAATTAGTTTTGTAAACATATAGTATATTCTTATTTCTCTTTATGCATTTTGCAGTGGGCGACGCTTATTGGAGATTTCAACAACTGGAATCCTAATGCTGATGTCATGACTCGCGTAAGCTTTACCTTTCCATTCTTGCAACATCCTAGATATGTATTATCCATTGAACTTGTCAATAAATTCTGGAGTTGATTTCCTTTTTGCAAGAATAATTTCTAATGTCATTCATAAGTAACAAGTTAAAGCTCATTTCAAATTAACTTGAGGTCAACTACACAAGTTCTGTTTTGCCTTCTCTTTTCAATTTAACGCTATATCTATTGTAACGTCCTACAAAGTAAAATCTTGGGTAACCACATTGTGCCATGTTACCGCTTTATTCTATCATGATCGTTGGATCTTGGGGTTAACTACATAGATTCTTTTCCACTACTCTTTTCTATCTAGCGCTACATCTATTGCAACGTTACAAAATAAAATCTTAGGCAACCACATTGTGCCATGTTACCTTTCTATTATATCGTGATAATTGGAATCTTGGGGCCAACCACAATTATTCTTTTCCGCTACTCTTTTCAATCTAGCGCTACATCTATAGACAGGTGCAACACGATAAAATGTTTGCAACCACATCTTGCCATGTTAGGTCTCTATTAATGTGTCACTGGGAATGCATTGATCTTTTGAGCGGGAGCTTCTTTAAGTTTACACAAGACATATCTCAACCATCTAATTCATTATTCTTTCAATTGATCCTCAATTGATTCCATCTTTACTTGTTGTGTATCCTCATAGCTTATGTTATCCATTCTGGTATGGGTCACATTTGTGTTAACATCCCTGTTTTTGTTACGTCAAGACTTGAACTCTTTATGCTGTAACGAACATATAGGTTGTCTAATAACGGTTCTTTAGAACTTTCCTTTTAGTTTGATAGGTATTTCAAACTCACATATCATATTTGTGCGCTTTATTCATTTTTCCCAACCCACGCTAATGCGTTACTTCCTATTTGAGCCCTCCAATAATAACTATAATAATTGATCCTCTATACCTGAAGGAATCTCTCTTTGCGACATGGTACTCTATTTTGGCTCTACCATCTTCTTTGTTCCTGCTATGTCTAGGAGATTCCATGTATTTTGTCCATGATAAAAGGACATTCTATGCATTCCATTTTACTTCCACTTAACTAAAATCTTTATATTCCAAAATGTATCTCCGATTATCTAAAAGTTATTATTCTCCTAGTTTCATCAACTAAAGCTAGATTTGCAACAAATAACATACAGTAATGGACATTATTATGATTTGACCTGTAACTCGTCCATTTCTAAAGCAAGAAGAACATTATTCTATGTTAGGTAGTCTATATTCTTTAGTCTAGTCGTTTTCTCTGTCATGATAATTTAGTGTCTATAAAATGGCTCTGATTTTGGTTTAGTTATATTACTCTGCTATCTCTATTACCCATATTATCGTATGATTGACTCGTCTATTGTTTGAGCAGAATGAATTTGGAGTCTGGGAGATTTTTTTGCCAAACAATGCAGATGGTTCTCCTCCTATCCCCCATGGTTCCAGTGTGAAGGTAATACTTGTAGATGTTATTGACTAGAGCATCGTGAATTTGAGCCATTTCACAGTCCTATCAAAATGGTGGTTTACTCATTTTTTCTTATCAATTTAATTGAACTAATAATATTTTTTGCTGTAGAAACTTCAGATAATGAAGAATCCCAATCTTACCATTGCACAGTTTTCTGAACTCTTCCCCTCGGTCAAAATTTACTAGTGTGCAAACACTATTCACTTTTGTATCTTTTTATCTATAAAAATGTAATGAAGATTAATTCGCTGATAAGGCAGGCTGTATTGGTTTGGTACAGCCCCTGCAATGCATCAGTGCAAGTTGCTTTGGCTTGATATGATCTTCCATTATAAAGCTTCCATGACAAGGTGGACCGGTGGAGCAATTCTTGTACCTCTACTCATGCGCTTCTTTACAAAATTTCTCACCTTGTCCAGAACCTTCAACAATTTTAACATTTTGCTAGCCTAGTTCTTATCCTCTAGTTTCAGGGTGTAGATCAGTTGTAAATAACTTCTGCCATTTGGTTCTACTGGATACGTCTCAAAATAGTGCTATATTTCTAGTAAATTTATTCTCTTAGAAATAATAATGACCCAACACATGCTTATGTGTAAAAGGGCAAAGGCAAGGAAAATACACATTTTCTACTCTTTATCTGCAGAATTATTTGTACCAAGTTATAATGGAGCATACTTGAGAAGGAAGAACTATTTTATACTGCATCTTGTGAAGAGTTTTTATGATTTGTACCCCTCTCTGGCTGTCTGCATATGTGCAGACGCATGAGATCAAAGATCTTCACTTGGATACTTGGTATCCAAGTTTTCTGCAAGGCTATTGGTGCGTATACAAAGTCCTTGAAGCTTTTGTTTTTATGAATCTGTGTATATTTAAATGCAGATTCGCATGGATACCCCATCTGGCATTAAAGATTCTATTCCAGCTTGGATCAAGTTCTCCGTACAGGCTCCTGGAGAAATTCCATACAAAGGAATATATTATGATCCTCCAGAAGAGGTATTACAATTTACTATGCCTTTCTTTTCTGTGCCTACATAGCAAGATTTAGAATGGAAAATGGTGAGCAGTAGATGATCTGGGACAGGGTGACTTCCCCGTGTCAAAAAATTTTAAGCAAATTTTCAAACAGAATTTATTTACCTCTTGGCAGCTTTATCAGATTNTTTCTATCAGCCTCTGGTGTTGGTATAATATTATGTTATTATCCTCCTCAATTCCTTTAGGTTAATGATGTTTTTCTTAATATTTTTTCAGGATAAGTATGTTTTCAAACATCCTCAGCCAGAGAAACCAAAATCACTTAGGATATACGAGTCTCACATTGGAATGAGTAGCACGGTGTGCATCTCTTCTCTCTCCTGTAATGAATAAACTTCTGTGCTTTTACCTATCCGCGTTTTCCTTGACTCAGCATATTTTTTATTGATCCATTATAACTGAAATTTATTAGTAGCTTTTAACTTACGAAGAATGTTTGATTTTCAACTTTGATAGCCTTCTACCATTTTGAAAAAAACTTTTGAACTTGAAGTCATTTGAGTACATATCTTTACGTCATGGAGCGATTTTTGGAGTACTTGAGAACTCAAAGCAAAAACTTGAAGCTTATAAAAGAACTGAGAAGCCAGAAACCAGAAGCAACTACGGTAGCTTCTCTGTGTATTTTCTCAGTAGACAATACAATACAAATGCAACATAAAAATATGTGGGGTGAAACCATATTAAGAATGTGATCCTTACAGCTGCAACTAACTGCTTGTCAACTGCACAATGTCAAGGTGACGCCCTACACAAGCTAGTATCCTACATCTCCCCTCCTCTCTCACTCTCATATGTCTGCATTGACAATTTTAAATCTTTGGTGACTTCTTCATCCATCGAGTTTGGCTACCTTCCGTTGTTAAAGCCATTCTAGTAGAGCGTGAAGGTATTGTTTTCTACTTCTATATCCAGTTGATTTTAAATAGAAACTTAGAGATTTTACTATTGCCAAATAATCAATAAATTCAACAAGTGATTTCTATAACTTTCTTTAAAGATTGCTTCAAGTTGAGAAACTATTGCTACTAACTTGCCCAATTTTGTTGATGATGTCCAACTTATTTGACAATTTTTGGCTTCATTCTACGGTGCTTCATCCTTTTTGCTTGATTTGTCAGTTGTTGGTTGCACGTTAATGTTCCCTTGTTCTTTGTGACCTTGAATGTAGGAGCCTATTATCAATACATATGCCAATTTTAGAGATGAAGTGCTTCCTCGTATCAAAAATCTTGGTTATAATGCTGTTCAGATAATGGCAATTCAAGAGCATTCATATTATGCCAGCTTTGGGTAATCCATTTCACCTTAGATATTACACTCAACTACTTTCACTCTCCTTTTCGATGTAGTAGTAAATTGAAACTTGAAATTTCCTCTTTCCCCCTCTTTTAACAAGACTTTATGTGCACCGATTTGTGTCCTTCAGTTATCACGTGACAAATTTCTTTGCGCCAAGCAGCCGTTTTGGGAATCCAGACGATCTTAAGTCCTTGATAGATAGAGCTCATGAATTGGGTCTGGTTGTTCTCATGGATATTGTGCACAGGTAATAATTGAATTTCCATGACAAAATCAACGTAAGTGCATTTTGTGATGCATTGGAAAATGTTTACTTCTTTCTATTCGTATCATGTTTTCTATGGGTTTTAGATAATCAAAATGCTGATATTCAGGCTAATTTGAAATTTGTACTTAATGCATGTGAATTTTGATTCCAAATCTTATTTATTACTATGTAGATGATAATGTTAATATCCAAACATGTCCAATAGTTTTTGGAGGAGCTGCTGCGTGAGAATGATGGAATCCTTTTTTTTATTTTTGGCCCCCTCCCTCTTCTTCGGCTAAGGAAAGTTATCATTAACATAAAGGGAAAAGAAGTTCATGACCCGTGGGCCTTCTACCTCCACGCGGCATTGCTCCGTCAGGCTTTCGCCCATTGCAGAAAATTCCCCACTGCTGCCTCCCATAGGAGTCTGGGCCGTGTCTCAGTTCCAGTGTGGCTGATCAAGCTATTATTTTGAGCTTTTTGAGTTAGAATGCATAGATGATTAGGTTTCCTTATTTAGTTAGGAATTGATATGGAATGAAATTGTATAGGATTCCTAGTCCAAATAGGATTAGGGTTGGATCTTGTATCTTGAGTTGGACGAATAATAAAATCAGCTCTACCCACCTTTCAACTTTGTATCAGAGTAAGTTTGACCAGACTTCCGTTAAACTTGAAATCAATTCCGTCCTCCTGCAAGTGGCCTCATGCCACTCATCCGATCAAGTTGTTCTGGTTTCTTTTAGGTTTAAAAATTAAGCTTCTAAATTAGGTTTTCAAGCCCTAATTCAAGAACCGACAAAAAAAATATGAAATCTAAGAAACCAAAGTTGAGCTCTAACATTTTCCTGCAATGTTGCGGCCCCTAGCAATCATCTCACGACCTTCGGCAACTGCAAAGCTTGTGTTCACAACCTCAACCCTGGGCCTTGGTTTAAGAATTTGATGGTTAGAGTAGTGGTAAATAATCTTCAAATGGGAGAAATGCCTAACATGGCATCACTGGCTGGTTTAAATGCAGGTAGATGACTGCCCATACTCCATCATGGCCGAAATAGATTTTTTTCTGGTTAAGTGGTTCGTTTAGTGAGAGGCAAGAAAGGTTCTTTCTGACATTCTCAAAAGTTATATGATAAATCAAAATTTGAGTATGGCTTGAGGTCGGTATAGTTGCTGTTATGAAGTCCAAGGAGATTGAGATGGAGTATAGAATGAATCTTTTTCTGCTTTCGTGATGGGATGGACGGGAGGAGGATATATTGCTGGACACAATCTACTTATCAATGGATGTTAGTGCAAATTATCGGTGATAAAGATGCCTTTCAACGCATTTCAATTTTTAATGTTTTGGGGGTAATTCGCATAAAGGTTGTCATTTTACTTCCTGAGAATCTGAGTTTTGATAATGCTATGTTCAATTGTATGCTATTCAACTGTGCAGTTAACTTGTACTTTTATATTTGGTATTATGTATGATTGCTTGTCTTCCATCATTACCTCACCCCAAATGTTTAATATATTCAGCCATGCGTCAAATAATACTTTGGATGGGCTGAACATGTTTGATGGCACCGATAGCTGTTACTTTCACTCTGGTTCTCAGGGTTATCACTGGATGTGGGACTCTCGACTTTTTAATTATGGACACTGGGAGGTATGTACAATTTTGAAAACTAGAATGGAACTGAATATATTATTCACTATTTTACCTTCTTCTGAATATTGTCGAATATAGCAACTAATATGATTTTCTGTTGTAGGTATTAAGGTTCCTTCTCTCAAACGCAAGATGGTGGTTGGATGAGTACAAGTTTGATGGTTTCAGATTTGATGGTGTGACGTCAATGATGTATACCCACCATGGTTTGCAGGTATTTCCATATTGGTTGGTGAGACTTAGATTGTACTCTTTGTTGAACAAATAGTTGATAAATGAGTTGCATTCAATGCTCTTACTCATAATGTTTTCAATCTAAATACAAACGGTTATAATTCCCATGAAATATGTGAAGCTCCTTGTGTTGTTCCGCAAATCTGTTTTTACAGTTTGAATATAATTGTCATGTCAAAAGGGAATGATGGAAGAATGGGCTATCCTCAAGTAATACTTTTGAAAATGTTATTTTGATTACTGAGAAAATAAGGATTCTCTGCTGCTTGGAGTATAACGGGTAAATTAGCTTTATTGTATGTTAGTTAAGTTTTTTGTAGATTATAAGTTGTGGATAAAAGTTGTGGAATGTGCGGATAAAAATGATGTTTGACCCGCTTATAAGCTAAAAAAAGCTTTATCAAACTATTAGAACGGATATTGGCCTAATTCAACCTAACAAAATCGACTTGTTAGGTGAGGATTGCCCCCACCTTATTAAGTGTATCGTAATCTGCATAAATCTCACTTACAGCTTTCTAACAATCAAATGTCAACAAACTGGAAACTGTACAATAGAGTGAATAATTTATAACTGACAACTAATCAAGTATACATGCAGCATAAGAGGAATTTATCCAACAAACATCCTTTAATTCAATTTTTTGGAGAACACTTTCCAATTTTTAATGTTATTTAAAAAAAATAAAGTCATTTGGGAAGAAATGAACTTTTCATATTGAAAAAAGTTCAATAACGTGTAAATGGTACTTCTAATGGATAAGATGGACAATGAACAGAAATGAGGTGAAAACACGTGTATGTTTGTCTTAGAATTCCACATTGGCCGGTGATATTAACACGATCTACTTAATAAGGTGAGGGCAATCCTCACCTAACAAGCCGGTTTTGTTAGGTTGAGTTAGACTCAATATCCTTTCTAATATGGTATCAGAGCAGGTCCAATTTTGCAATGTTGGGTGCACTCAATATCGATTTGTTTACAATATGCTCCAACTTTAGGGGGATTGTTAAAGGGTATTTAAGTCTTTTATGTAATACCTAGGGTTTCCTAAGTTTTTATTATAAATAGTGTGAGAGACTAACACAATAGTTAAGCCTTCTTATTCTTTTACTCCAACAACTTTCTTTAAAGATTGCTTCAAGTTGATAAACTATTGCTACTGACTTGCCCAATTTTGTTGATGATGTCCAACTTATTTGACAATTTTTGGCTTCATTCTATGGTGCTTCATCCTTTTTGCTTGATTTGTCAGTTTTTGGTTGCACGTTAATGTCCCCTTGTTCTTATTTTTGTGACCTTGAATGTAGGAGCCTATTATCAATACATATGCCAATTTTAGAGATGAAGTGCTTCCTCGTATCAAAGATCTTGGTTATAATGCTGTTCAGTTAATGGCAATTCAAGAGCATTCATATTATGCCAGCTTTGGGTAATCCATTTCACCTTAGATATTACACTCAACTACTTTCACTCTCCTTTTCAATGTAGTAGTAAATTCAAACTTGAAATTTCCTCTTTCCCCTTCTTTTAACAAGACTTTATGTGCACTGATTTGTGTCCTTCAGTTATCACGTGACAAATTTCTTTGCGCCAAGCAGCCGTTTTGGGAATCCAGACGATCTTAAGTCCTTGATAGATAGAGCTCATGAATTGGGTCTGGTTGTTCTCATGGATATTGTGCACAGGTAATAATTGAATTTCCGTGACAAAATCAACTTAAGTGCATTTTGTGATGCATTGGAAAATGTTTTCTTCTTTCTATTCGTATCGTGTTTTCTATGGGATTTAGATAATCAAAATGTTGATAGACAGGCTAATTTGAAATTTGTACTTAATGCATGTGAATTTTGATTCCAAATCTTATTTATTACTACGTAGATGATAATGTTAATATCCAAACATGTCCAATAGTTTTTGGAGGAGCTGCTGCGTGAGAATGATGGAATCCTTTTTTTTTTTTGGCCCCCTCCCTCTTCTTCTGCTAAGGAAAGAAAGTTATCATTAACATAAAGCAAAAAACTATGTCATCTTCGAGCTATTATTTTGAGCTTTTTGAGTTTGAATGCATAGATGATTAGGTTTCCTTATTTAGTTAGGAATTGATAGCCTTTTGAGTTAGAATGCATAGATGATTAGGTTTCCTTATTTATTTAGGAATTGATATGGAATGAAATTGTATAGGATTCCTAGTCCAAATAGGATTAGGGTTGGATCTTGTATCTTGAGTTGGATGAATAATAAAATCAGCTCTACCCACCTTTCAACTTTGTATCAGAGTAAATTTGACCAGACTTAAGTTAAACTTGAAATCAATTCCGTCCTCCTGCGAGTGGCCTCGTACCAATCATCCGATCAAGTTTTTCTGGTTTCTTTTAGGTTTAAAAATTAAGCTTCTAAATTAGGTTTTTCTAATTGAACCTTAAATTTCAAGCCCTAATTCAAGAACCAATAAAAAAAATATGAAATCTAAGAAACCAAAGTTGAGCTAACATTTTCCTGCAATGTCGCGGCCTCTAGCAATCATCTCACGACATCCGGCAACTACAAAGCTTGTGTTCACAACCTCAACCCTGGGCCTTGGTTAAAGAATTTGATGGTTAGAGTAGTGGCAAATAATCTTCAAAAGGGAGAAATGCCTAACATGGCATCACTGGCTGGTTTAAATGCAGGTAGATGACTGCCCATACTCCATCATGGCCTAAAGAGAATTTTTTCTGGTTAAGTGGTTCGTTTAGTGAGAGGCAAAAAAGGTTCTTTCTGACATTCTCAAAAGTTACATGATAAATCAAAATTTGAGTATGGCTTGACGTAGGTATAGTTGCTGTTATGAAGTCTAAGGAGATTGAGATGGAGTATAGAATGAATTTTTTTCTCCTTTCGTGATGGGATGGACAGGAGGAGGATATATTGCTGGACACAATCTACTTATCAATGGATGTTAGTGCAAGTTATCGGTGATAAAGATGCCTTTCAACGCATTTCAATTTTTAATATTTTGGGGGTAATTCGCATTAAGGTTGTCATTTTACTTCCTGAGAATCTGAGTTTTGATAATGCTATGTTCAATTGTATGCTATTCAACTGTGCAGTTAACTTGTACTTTTATATTTGGTATTATGTATGATTGTTTGTCTTCCATTATTACCTCACCCCAAATGTTTAATATATTCAGCCATGCGTCAAATAATACTTTGGATGGGCTGAACATGTTTGATGGCACCGATAGCTGTTACTTTCACTCTGGTTCTCAGGGTTATCACTGGATGTGGGACTCTCGACTTTTTAATTATGGACACTGGGAGGTATGTACAATTTTGAAAACTAGAATGGAACTGAATAAATTATTCACTATATTACCTTCTTCTGAATATTGTCGAATATAGCAACTAATATGATTTTCTGTTGTAGGTATTAAGGTTCCTTCTCTCTAACGATGAAAACTAGAATGGAACTGAATATGTTATTCACTATTTTACCTTCTTCTGAATATTGTCGAATATAGCAACTAATATGATTTTCTATTGTAGGTATTAAGGTTTCTTCTCTCAAACGCAAGATGGTGGTTGGATGAGTACAAGTTTGATGGTTTCAGATTTGATGGTGTGACGTCAATGATGTATACTCACCATGGTTTGCAGGTATTTCCATATTGGTTGGTGAGACTTAGATTGTACTCTTTGTTGAACAAATAGTTGATAAATGAATTGCATTCAATGACCTTACTCGTAACGTTTTCAATCTAAATGCAAACGGTCATAATTCCCACAAAATATGCGAAGCTCCTTGTGTTGTTCCGCAAATCTGTTTTTACAGTTTGAATATAATTGTCATCTCAAAAGGGAAATGATGGAAGAATGGGCTATCCTCAAGTAATACGTTTGAAAATGTTATTTTGATTACTGAGAAAATAAGGATTCTCTGCTGCTTGGAGTATAACGGGTAAATTAGCTTTAGTGTATGTTAGTAAAGTTTTTTGTAGATTATTATAAATTGTGGATAAAAGTTGTGGAATGTGTGGATAAAAATGATGTTTGACCAGCTTATAAGCTAAAAAAAGCTTTATCATACATACTCATGTTTTCACCTCATTTCTATGTTCATTGTCCATCTTATCCATTAGAAGTACCATTTACACGTTATTGAACTTTTTTCAATATGAAAAGTTCATTTCTTCCCAAATGACTTTATTTTTTTAATAACATTAAAAATTGGAAAGTGTTCTCCAAAAAATTGTATTAAAGGATGTTTGTTGGATAAATTCCTATTATGCTGCATGTATACTTGATTAGTTGTCAGTTATAAATTATTCACTCTATTGTACAGTTTCCAGTTTGTTGACATTGGATTGTTAGAAAGCTGTAAGTGAGCTTTATGCAGATTGAACCTGTCATGCAGGAAACTTTTCAAGTATGACTTCAATAAATAAAGTATATTGAGGCCATAAAAGATATGGTTTTCTACAAATAAATCGTCAATTGATTTGAGCATTCTTGGTTTTGATATAATGACAATACCATTTAAGATATTTGTGATGCTGGTCGTGTCCTGTTTCTCTTTGATCTCCTACATATATCCTCTCACAAATATTTTTATTGCTAATAGGTTACATTTACTGGAAACTACAGTGAGTATTTTAGTTTTTCAACGGATGTTGATGCTGTAGTTTATTTGATGCTGGTCAACGACCTCATTCATGGGCTCTTCCCTGAAGCTATAACTGTTGGTGAAGATGTAAGTCTATCAATTTCATTTGGAAGCCATGGATATCGTTTGATTTTTTTATTCATTTATTTATTTTTAATTGGTGAGGGAGAAATAATAGGAGGAATTGACAATTTCACTTTTCTTTTGTTGGATTTCACAGTGAAGAAGAAACGAAAATTGAAGGGCACAAAATATTTTTCGTGTCTCCACTAATTTTTTCTCCTTTAAATGTTTACGATTGCATGTTAATTTTTTTTTTTAGATATATGTATCAGCACGAGTTTGTGTACAAACCCCTTTCCCCCCATTCCACTTGATTTTAATTCCGTCCATTTATTTTTTCTTCCATTCTAGCTAGTAAGCCATCCTATATAAGTTTTGAACACTCAAATTGTCTGGCACACTTTATTTATCAGATATTTACACTAAACAGAATTAGAGTAGGGCTGGCATGAAGAAAATTGCCTGGGCAGATGATCATAACACAGATAGTCAAATCATGGCTATGTAAAGAAAATATTGAAAATGAAATATATAGCCACCGATGTCAATAAAGAAAGACCAATAAGTTCGGATCAAGAGAAGAAAAAGTTGATCACTTGTGCAAATGGGATTCCTCAATTCAATCTCCTTTCAGGACCTGGTTCTACTTTATTACTTTTGTGAAATGCGTCCACAGAGTTAATCATCAAGCTATTTCTCTCCATGACCCACACCAATAGCTGCTTTTTTAACTCTAGAAGATAGCTAGTTTTCCATTCCATATTCTGTTTCAAGTTCTAATTTTAAAACATGCATATAACATCAAGTTGATGTACCACATCATCTATTTTAGGTTGTATGCCTCTTACAACGACAACAACAAACTAAGTCTTGTTTTTAAGTAATTTTGGGGTTAGCTGCATAACTCCTTTCCTATCAGTTCATTCAATCCATTGTCACACCTATCAAAAGTTCCAATAAATTCAAATCCTTCACAACTACATCACGCCGTGTTAATTTTAGTCCACCTATGCAAGACTTGCCCAGACCACTTAATTCGTCGTTTCCTTAATTTATCCTCGTTAGGTTATATGTTAATCGGTTGGCATATAGTCTGCATTTTTGTTGTATTTAATATTATTTATAGTATGGAAATACATCCATCTTTAAAACACTATTTATTTTATACTCTCTTAATGCAGTGTTTTATCCTTAAACGGCCCAACACTTGGTTACTATAAACTGCAGCAATAATTCGACACAAAAATCTTAGCTTTTTGACATATAATAGTCATTGCCCAGTTAGAAAGCAAAAGGGTAATGTTGGTCACTTACAATTAGAAATGCCTATTTTCAGCAGTGCTTCACTAGCATCTAAGATCTTCATTATTGTAAATGTGATAGTAACTTTACTGATCTATTCTTTAGCAAATTTCTTTTGCAGGTAAGTGGCATGCCAACTTTCTGTATTCCTGTTCAAGATGGTGGTGTTGGATTTGACTATCGCCTTCATATGGCAATTGCTGATAAATGGATTGAGATACTCAAGTATGTTATCCTCAAAGCTCGATACATCTATTCTGGAAATTACCTATTCTATGAAATATTGTTTTGTGAACAGAAAAGTAGGTTTTGACTAACAATTGCACAAAAAAGGGTGGGATAGATTTGGGAAATGCAAGTTTCTGCTTGTTCCTTCCCACCCCCAAGCCCCCTTCTTTTGAGGAGGTGTGGAGGGGAAGAGGGTTGTGTTTAGAAAAAATTTAAACAAACTTCCTGTTTCTAATCTTAGCAAGAATATTTTCACTGGTGTCAAATTACAAGGAACAAAGGGATCTGAACTCATGCACTGTGTTGTTTTCAACTAAGAAGCGCCCTAGGGTTTTCTTGTATTAAGCCACTTGATATAAAAGTTTAAACTATTATTTAGAATCACGTGTATATCATTTAAATATTGTTTTCAACATCCCCGCCACGTATAGACAATATTTATTTTTAATTGTTAAAGCATAACACGTGCAAAATTTATAAACAAACATTGACAAGGGAAGAGTTTCCATTGCCTTTTTGGTTCTTTCTGGACTTCTAATTGAATATGTAAGCTAGTTCAAAACAGCTGAATGTTGTTATACTATAGTTCATTAAAATACCGATTTCTGAATCATGGAATGATTATTTTCCTCATTTTGATTGAAACGGAAGGTCTTGGAAAAATATATCTTTTGATGTCAAGTTTTGTGGGATAAGCTGATGTCAGATTAGAATAATGTGATACTATGTGCACTGATGTAACATAAATGCATAAAATCTCATTGTGTACAGCAATGATCAAGTGGTTTTTATTGCACCATCTGATATGTGGAGCTAATTAATAGTTTCAGCTAACTTCAAGCATTTGAATAACTTCTACACCATTGTGCATTAAAATACATATTCTGAATCCTGGAATCAATATTTTTGTCATTTTGACATAAATTAGAGATGTAGGGGAAATTAATTTTTGTAGTAAGTTTGTGAGATAAAGCTTGCATCAGCTGTGTGCGGAGCTAATTTATACTATAAATCTATATCAACTGCAAGGGATTTTTTTTCCTTTTTGTTCTTTTTTGGAAAATTGCACAGGGTATTTTACCAATACGTAATTTGCTATTTATGAAGTCATTGATAAGCTCTCTGAAACTTCAAGAATGCAAATTTATTTTATTTTTTACATAAAGTAATTTGGAATTCTGTTCATGTTGATGCAGGAAGAGGGATGAAGATTGGAAAATGGGAGATATAGTGCACACACTTACTAATAGAAGGTGGTCAGAAAAGTGTGTTGCTTATGCAGAAAGTCATGACCAAGCACTAGTCGGCGATAAAACTATTGCATTCTGGCTAATGGATAAGGTTTTAGATTATTTTAGTTTGTTATCAATCAACACCTTAAGGTCTTCTAAGAAGAATAAACATTTGTTCTAGTTGAAATTTAACCTGCATAATCCAATGAAAAATTGACTGAGTTACTTGGAAGCCAAAAAGTTTCTTTTGTTAGTCATGTACGAATGCATTTTATTGGACAAATAAGTTCATGAACCAAGAGACTTCCAATTGAATTGTTATGAATATATTGAGTGGTACAATATGCATTGTCACTCTCAAAGCAGATAGTGTGTGCGCTAAAAGTTCACAGATAAACTTGCTCGTTGACCATAGGAGAGACTGTGTACTAAAGTTCACAGATGAACTTATCAATCTTACAAACTTGTCTCGTAAAGTGGATCATAGTCTAGAGAAACCAGATGCCAAATTTAGTTCTTGGTTCCATCTCATCTTCTGTCATACAATTTAAAACCAATCTAAAGTTAGTATATTATTGGAACCAATAATTTGGAAACTGTGAGTTGTCGACTAATTGATTTTATATTGAGACTTATATTGATGTAGTAAATGACAACTTATTCAAATGCACATGCATTCTTGGTTATAGAAAATAAATACTCGTATTTCTCAAAGCATTTCGGGTATTTCTCTGTTAAAGAACCAGTTTTAGTTTGTTTCTGAGTTTGAAATGCAATAAATTTATTCTTTATTTAAGATTCTTCAGTTAGAATTGTAATTAAGAATTAGTGATTGGACTTTGTCTCTACATCAAGGTTTTTGTGTCAGGTTAATCCTTCTTCTCCAAAAAGCATTAGACTTCTCTTTCAATCTTCACATGCACTATCTTTTTTTATTTTTGTTGAACAAAGTTGACGAAACTATATATTAGCCACTGCATTATCATGGTGGAGGAAGTCATGTAATTGGATTAAAGATGGAATTGTTAACTTTTATGCTTACTTATGATATCATTTTATTCTACATTTCAGGACATGTATGATTTCATGGCTATAGATAGACAATCTACTCCCTTGATAGATCGTGGAATAGCATTACACAAAATGATAAGGCTTATCACAATGGGATTAGGAGGAGAAGGGTACCTAAATTTCATGGGAAATGAATTTGGACATCCTGGTAGGAATGCATTGTTTTATACTGCTACTTGATCTGATTTATGATGTTTTTCTATTTGCCGTTATTCAGTAATTCACTTTTGGCTTTAAACCAACATACCTTTTTAAATCAGAGTGGATAGATTTTCCTAGAGCTGATCAACATCTTCCTGATGGCAAATTTGTTCCTGGAAACAATAACAGTTTTGACAAGTGCAGGCGTAGATTTGATCTGGTAAGCTTTTTCTCTATCTTATTCCAATTAATCTTTTCCAGTAATAAGAATTCCTAATGCACGACGTTATTCTTTTATTATGTATGCCTGTTGATGTACACTTCACTCTAGTCCTAAACTCATTCACAGTTATTCGGGTGCCTAGACCCCTTTATTTGCAAAGATTTCATGAAAAAGAAAAAGAAGTATATAAAATCATATTACTAAAAGGAAAAATAGTAATTTTTAACTAGACTAGGATATAAGCTAGAAGGAAATGTTGCCATGATTCCTATTCTAACATTTCTATTCCAACTATATTAATACAAGTTCAATGAAAATAAAGAAATAAAGATATATACATGCGTTAGGCATGTTGATTTATTTTTCTTTGTCGTAAACTATCGCTAACAACATTTCTATGTATTTTTTCCTCATAGACCTTTGAAATCATTTGGAATGAATTCTAAGTTAATTGGTGCATTTGTCTCTAAAATGACACTGTGCATATCCAGGGTGATGCAGAGAACTTAAGATATCGTGGAATGAAAGAATTTGATCGAGCAATGCATCATCTTGAAGAAAAATATGGTGTATGTATTCCTGTGCTAATCTCCTGCCCTACTTAATCCGAGCAAAACTTTATGATGCATGAAAACATTGATGTTAATGATTTGAGTAAGTTCTCATGCTGTCATAGAATTCAATAGTAAATGCTATGGCTGTCCCTGCAACTTTTAACCGTCTTTATACATTGAGGGAATCCCCGTGACATATGTAATCTTATTTGTTCTTACTATCAAGGCAATTTTTGTGGTCTTAAGTCTATTGTGATATACACTGTCCCTGCAACTTCTAACCGTCTTTACACATTGAGGGAATCCCCATGACATATGTAATCTTATTTGTTCTTACTATCAAGGCAATTTTTGTGGTCTTAATTTGAGTCTATTGTGATATACATGTGGTCCCGTTATATTTGAGAACATATTTAGAACAATAGATACTACTCATGGCTACAGAGTTGGAAAGTCGGTTGGTTGATTACATGACCAACTTTGAGGTGGTTTCGTTATTTTTCTTTGACGCTTTGTGGTTTTATATTATGGACAAATTTACGCTAGCGTTCTCTACATATTGAATGATAAAGTGGTCATCTTTTTGTATTTTTATTGATGACAATATGAATAAATAAATGTGTCTCCAGCAAGCTAAGTTCTTAGATAAGATGGTTAAACATAAGATCAGAGCAGGCAGGTAGGCAAAGTTCGTAGGTTCAAGTTTCTACGCATCCCATTTATGAAAATTGTGAATGTGACGTGCCTTTAATGAAAAAATGAGTCTGGTATGCAGGTGAGGAGCGAGTTCAAGACAATTCAAATAAATAAATGTCCCCTCTCTAGCAAATTAAACTTTTAAATGATGTGGTTCAACAATTTTATTCTTAAAATAGGAAATAGTGACGAACGCCATTTGTCATGACTATCAAAGTTGAGGAAATTGATTTTGAGCTATGGATTTAGAGTTCCTAATCCTATGTGATGAGGATGATCCAAAAATCAAATTTTTGCGAGTTTTTTACTCTTTCTTGTTAGATAGGTACAGCAGTACAGTAAATGTAGATAACTTTAGAAGAAGGTTGCTGGAAAGGACTGGAGAAGAATGAAAATGATGGTGCATATGGTGTTACTTCACAAAGTAGTAGTTATGAGAATTGGGAAAGACCTGATTAATTTACTGTCAAAGCTGTTATCATTAACCTGCTAACTAAGCTGAATGTTTTGCACAATTTACTTCTTAGAGTTCTCTCGATCTTGTCCCAATTATAATCACTTATTGTTCAAGTTTTAAGCATGCCGTTACTGATTTTCTTTAATCTTTATATCTTTGCATATAAATAATAATGGTGCAACACGTTTCTGCAGTTCATGACTTCGGAGCATCAGTATATATCACGTAAGGATGAAGGAGATAGGATAATTGTGTTCGAAAGGGGAAACTTGGTTTTTGTCTGCAATCTTCATTGGACTAACAGTTATTCTGACTATCGGGTAGGCTGCCTAAAGCCAGGAAAATATAAGGTACCATGAAACGTTTGTCTTTGATGTTGATAATGTCTCTCTCAAATTATTACTTTCTTTATTGAGAAAAAGGGAACAGTAATGAGTTTATCGAGACAATCTATTTGAATATTATTGTGTTTCATGTGATTATGAAATGTAGATCATTTGAATAACTGGAATCTATTTAGTCGTCCCGTTTTGCTATGTAACATTTGGGAAGATAACTGCATGAATGGTTCTCTCAAAAGATTTTAGGAGATTTTAATATTCAATATATAACTCGTTGTTCTAAAAACTTGTGAAGAGGCACCAGGTGTTTGTAATCTGCATTCAATTTAGTCTTACCTGGTTCCTCCTCCCCCCAACCACACCACCAGCTTCCATGATCCTAGAATATGATGCCCCTTAATGTATCCAGCAATCTTGGAACCAAATTGCAAGTACTGCAACATCCCATATGATTGGGTGCCTGGTTTTGCTAGAATGTTTATTTGATATTTGGCAACTGCATCTCAATGTCATAATTATGGCAATATGAGGTTTGGCGCTTCCACATAATACTTGATGATACAATCACGTAATGTTTTGGTCTGCTAAATGTTTATTTTGTTTTCCATGTTTTGAAAGTGTAACTCTTAATTATATCATGTTACCTTTTCAGGTAGTGTTGGAATCAGATGATCCATTGTTTGGTGGCTTCAGTAGAATTAGTCATGATGCAGAGTATTTTACCTCTGTAAGTGCATTTACTTGAGATTCATATGATATATGCTTAGAAAATCCATCCCATCCACCCAAAGAAGAAGAAAATGCTGATCTTTTTTTAAACTTATCTGCACAGGATGGGTGGTACGATGGGCGGCCTCATTCTTTTATGATATATGCACCTTGTAGAACAGCAGTGGTCTATGCTTTAGTTGAAGATTCAGCAGTTCTTGTTGAAGAATGATCATATGGCGTATGTAATCACCAATACAATTTCGACCAGAAATTGTACAAACTATGGTGATTTTGTACATAACTGAGCTGTTTTAGTGCAATGTGGCACTTGTGTTGGTGCACTGGTATGGTATGGAGTTGGATGGAAGACTGGGCAGGAATGTAAAGTACAAAATAATGTTTTAGGCATTTGTAGAACTTGGGAATGGCGTTGGGTATGTATACAGAAGAAAAGACTAATTTTGCTGGAGAATCATCTGATAAACTCTTATAATGAACTTCAGCAAAATCCCATGGCAGAATGTGCTTTCATTTCAATACCAATATCTTTGGAAGATTCCGGGAGGTAATGATTTTGACTACAGGAAATACCGAATATAATCATCGAAATTACATGCCCCCTGTTTGGCAACCAATGAGTTTGTTGAAATTTCGAAGATTTGCAGTTAATAAGTTGAAGCATGTAAGAATCAGTATGCTTTTCCTTTTGCAGTTTGCTTGAGCTCATTGTTTACTTTCCTGCACTATGAATATCAACACAGTTTTCTCTAACCACTCTGTTCTAGACCAAGTGATTCAACATGGATTCAAATCCAACAAATGTTTCAAGTCTCGCACCCACTCATTTATCATTTACGAAAAGTAGCACACTTATCTCATCCTTTTGATGAAAATAAAAACAAAAAAGTCAAAATATATGAGAAGAGACGTGTTAAATATTAAAATTAAGATAAATAAATATGTCTCACCTCTAAAAGCTTAAGCTTTAATATGAAATAGTTCAACGTGCTGTTTTGTGCCACAATCGACTCATCATAGCTCAAAGTTTGCGACCTTGCTCCATCTACGACCTACATGTCCTCCAAACTGGGGGATCCCAAAATCTGAAATACCAACAGAGTAGGTAGTTTCACTCTCAAAAATGCAGCTTGCACCGTTACCTCCCTTGAGTGACTTCATTAAGTTCTCACCGAGAGAAAATAATGCCACCTTACCCTTCAGATATAAACCTTCCCAGTTCCAATGTTGTATACGGTTACAAATTTGCTAACACGTTAACGTGTAGAATGCACGACAAAAGCTTTTAAAATTTATGTAAGAAACGACACAAGAACTAATCAATCATTGTCTAAATATAGTAGAAAAGAAATTTAGCAAGGGTAACATGATAAAGAGGCAGCCAAGAGCACTGCAGGAGTGATAGTGAGTACATGACTACTGAACATAATCCCTTGACTGTGGCCTGCGGCTACTTTCGTGGAATAAACTGCATAAGGTTACGTATAGCAAAAAAATGAAGAAAGAAGAATATGAAATGTGTCGTATGACATTCAAATTCATAATCTTAGACCAATAAGTTGGATTATCTTGTAAATAATGGAAATGTTCATAGTTAACATTTCAAGTTCCAAATCTGAAGCTGTATTTTGATGATCATAACATGGAGCAATATATAGCATAACTACAATTGGATGCTTGATCATTAAATTACAGCAGCACACTAAATCGAAACATGCAAGTACAGAAATGAACGGGATTTACATACAAAAGACGCAGCAACTAATCTGCAAGACCAACGCCTACTTACCATCATCCATTGTCTTATCTACAGCAACATTGAACTTTTTGTACTCAAATTCCTTCGGCTGCAAAGCATATTCCTTTGGCTTCACAGCATATTCCTCTGGCACCACAGGACGCCTATTTGCAAAGATAGTCCAAACAAACAGCGCAATGAATGCCCCCAATGCTCCACATCCAGTGCCAAAAATCAATGCAGCGAGGATTCTCAAGGTACAATAACTTCTCTTATGAACATTTAGTTCCGATCCTTTCTTCACAAAAGACTCAGGGTCCACTGGTTCTGAATGCATCCAATGCGGGAAATTTCTCGACCTAAAACTCCATGAATGCACATTACACTTTTGTGATGAATTCCCACTCGATGAACTCAATCCCACTAAAGCATCCTCCTTTCCCCACATCTGTGACAAGTCAATAGGATAAGAAAGCAATGGCTCAACTGGCCTAACGACACCTAACTTACTTAACCTCGCCTCAATTCGTTTAGAATTTGCTTCATAGTCAATCCATGCCTGTAATTTTTCAGCACTATTCAGCACCAAATTTATTGATGAAACATTGCTCACTTTAACAGACACAAGACTATCAATATCAATGCCAACGTGATTACCGTTGGCATCACCATACTTTTCATCCTTAAAAGTATCAAATTCAACAGCAAGAAACCTCATTTTTCTCTCCCTCAAAAGCCCCATTGAGCCACCATCAAAAACATCCACAGGAAAACTAGCAGGAACTATAATAAAGGCCAAGCCATCCCCATTTTCACTAGACATGGAAAACACAAAATTCATAGAAAAAGACACCATATTTCTTGGGTTTCCTTCAACAAACTTAACAGGTTTCTTGTAAATGACCCTCCCAGAACCAGAAATTCGAATACTATCATTGGCAACCCTAGCATCACCATACAGAGCAATCTGTGATTCAAATTCTTCTGAGTCTTTACCAAAGTTCTCGAAAGAAAATGACAAGTTTAGGTCTGCACCTACAACTTTCGAGTAAAGATTCAGCAATAAGAAAGCCATGAAGTACCTGGAAACCAAATTTGATGCCATTCTTGATCTGGGCTTTGAGCAAGATGCTGTGGCTCTGCTTTTTTTGTCTTTTATTCTGGATTTACAAGGCTTTCTTTGAAGAAGAACACATAGAGAAGTAATACTAATATTAAAAGTGAAATTATTTATGATTCTTTTTCTAGGGTTTGAGAGCAGAATTATATCTTTAGAACCAAAAAAGATGGGGCAAGAAATTGTGCTGGGAGGTTGCGAAAATTAATATGTTTACTTTTGTTCTGCAACACTCTACTTGGACTTGCACTCTCTATCTTTCTGAGTGGTTGCTGACTGTGGAAATAAAAAATATGAGATTCTTTAGGATTAGGTCCCTGTTATTTTTCTATTTGCAGTGAAGGACCTATACTTTGCACACTTTGCACTCCGATTGTCTTATAATTGTCGTGACAGCTGTAAATGTGTTGTAGTTACTTTGAATTCAAGAAATAAGACATTAAAAAATGGGAAAATTCCACTCGTAATTCCATTTTACATTACGATTGACATGATATGTGTTGACAAGTGTTGATTTGGTGAAAAAATTGTCAAAAATTTAAAATATCGTGTGTTGTTGCGTGAAAGATATTAAAAATGATGTAAAGGATAATGAATTTCATATCTCTATGCTTAATTGAATATATCATTTATAGTAGACTCGAATTCAACACCAACGATACTGCATAAGTGTCAGGATCATGCTACAAGTACATAATCATTTACATAATACATTACATAATTGACATGTGGCGCGCATCTATCGGTAATCTACAATTTTTTACTTTTCCACACTTCACATCCAAGGCCGGATTTCTTCCACATGGGCCTGTGTAATCCATTATGTACAATAATTATATACATATAGATTTATCCTAAGTGCCATCTTCACCTTGGTAAACATGACTTTACGACATGATCTTGCTATATGTATATCAAGACTTATATAAGAGATTACAAAATGTCACGTGGTATTCTATCATTTACCAGTTTAAAATACAATCACATTTTTCATCCAATCTTTTTCCTCCATATTGTTTTCGATAATCGCTTGTGTACCATTTTGACATTTAGTATTTTTTCCCCTCTTAGTTGTGACTAGCTTTTCAAATTTAGACAATGATTATCATTATATGATCAGTACAAGGTGGTAATGAACTAAGCAAAGTTGACTCAATCATTTGGCTCGTGAGCCTTATTGGCAGAGCCAACTCGTGGGAACCCGTAGAAAAATTTAAAATAAAATAAAATCTTGAGTTCATCTCAACTCAAGGCTCGTCTTAATACGAGCATGAGACGTCCGTTGGACTCATTTGCCACCTCTATTAGCATCTTTAATATCACTTAACTGCTAAGATAAACTAGTTAATTAAGTAATTAAAAGTTGTGTTGGGCAGAAAAAAAAGAAGAAGATTCTTTTGAAATGGAGGGCATGCAGCGTAGACATTTAATGGTGTTCTCCCGACAACGAACACACGTGCTTTCCTCTGCATTGTGCTTACAATTAAAATCCCTTTTTGCTGTTTAAAAAGGAAACTCCGCATGCCCTTTTGTCTTCTGGATTTGTTCAATGGTCCTTTTTCTCAATTTTAATTTGAGCAATGCTATTTAACATCATCTGTGTTAAAATATTAGTATAAATTGTATTAAATGAGATTCACGATTAAATAAATCATTTAATTTCACATTTTTATTTAATCTATTACACATTAATACACTGTTCAGCCATTCCGCAAAACCGTTGACTAACCTTCAAAAGTCTCGGCATTAGGGACATCAAAAGCTGGAATTCTGCACTTCTAGCAAAAATACTCTGGAACATTCATTATAAAGGATGAACCGCATCCTTAGCGGCCCCCACCTGCCCTGAAAGAGGTAAATCGCAGGTTATGCCTCCAAGGGTACAGGGTGGAAGACTGCTTGTACACTTGCACTTATCCAAAGGCCAAATCCATATTTCAGGATTCGAACCCTTGACGCAGCAGCCTCAAGTAAAGCTGGAGTTTTTCCACTTTCCCCTTTTACCACTTGGAAATGTGCCTTGGGAGCTCTGGAACATTCATTGTAAGAAGGATACTTTGTGGATCAAATGGATCCATCAGGTATATCTTCACGGGAGTTGCATTTGGACGTACATGCCGAGGAAAGATGACTCCTCTCTTCAAAAAATTGTTGGACATTAAGAGACTGCATTACTAGGGCAGAATGCACTACACAAGCCACTGTTGTTAAACTATCAAACTGGACATTTCAGGGCAGATTTTGCATAGCTAATGCGTATGAATATTTCTGGCCGAAAGGAGTCGAGGTAATCTAGGCCAACTGTATCTGGAATGCATATGCTACTCCGAAACATGTCTTCATCATGTGGTTAGCTGTCATGACTAAGCTACTGACTAAGGACAAACTACATTATATACAAATCGACCGGAAATGCAGCTTCTGTCAACAAATAGATGAGACTACACGTCACCTCTTTTTTATATGCCCATTCAGCTGAACAGTTTGGAGCGCTATCCGAGCATGGTTGGGTCTAAGGCGTTCCATGTCTACTCTCCCAAGTGCAATGAAATGGATCAAAAAGGAAAGTAGGGGCACATCTTGGCATAGCAAAGTTAAACGGATTGCACTTACTACAATCGTCTACCACATTTGGATGGCTAAGAATATAAATATTTTTGATGACCTTACACCGCAAGTTAATAGTGTTGTTAGACGTATCAAAACACGTGTATACAAAACCACGTTCTCTTTATATCCTAATGTTTTGATTTGTTATGAGTCATTAACGATGGGTTGATGTATTTTATCTTTTGTTGGATCCTCTTGTGCTTGATTATTGGGGTATGTCCATAGTAGTTGTTTTTCCATTGTAACTTCATTGTTGATTCACTCGGGTATGCCCAAAGTACTTTATATGGTGTTTGATTAATATAATTCATTTTACCCGATAAAAAAAAAACAAGTATATAATATGCTTATTTTCAACTTTGATTCGTAAAAATGATTTATATTAAATTCATTAGAGCATATTCGATGGTGGTGTAAAATTGAGTAAAAATTGACGTCTTCAAAATCACTTTTACATCCCGCAAAATCTAAATTCAAATTCTGTTCCAACAATGAGAATATCTAAAAAAATTGGATGCAAGTGGGCTAGTAACTTTTTGTCTCCGGTGAATCCCACTTATAGATGTATAAAATATGTAAATTTACATTTTTTTCGAAAAATGCATTTTGCATTTCTTTTTTCATCTCTCCATTGGAGATGTTTTCGTCTAACTTGGATATTTAAATTACAACTTAGATCTAATTTAAATATGCTACACAAACAAACAAACTAATGAAGGTGACAGGTTGGACATTGGTCCCGTTGACCTTTTGTTAGGATTCAGACGACTCACTGATTTATTTAACAAACTTTGATTGCTGTCCAAATTGTCTTTTGCAGGGGTAAGGAACTTCTTGTGAGCCCAAATATGCAACCTGCAAGGGCATTTTAGACATTAGGTATAAAATTTTCTTGATAAAATTGACTCTATAAAAAAAATTAAACGATTTTATTGTGTAGCCTCGGCTAGATTCGATGAAATAAAGTTTATTCTCGTTTATTCTTTTCAAGAAATGAATAGTATGATGTTTTTTATGCGTGGCACCCGTTTAATCATGATCGCTTTTTATAATGTGTGATTTTTCTCTAATCATAGGAGAGTGAAGTACTGTTTTCTTCAATAGTTGATGTTACGTTCTTCTTCTCTTCTGCAACAGCAACTCATCTGTACATCTACTTCATGATTGCTCAATCGAGTCGTGTCCATTACATTTTAATGTTGAGAGCGAGTTATATACTCCTCGAACTTAGAATAAGTAAGTCGATACTCAAATTTTTTTTTAATTATAATTACTCAATCAGTTGCTTTTTTTGGGGGGGAAGGGATAGAGGCGTGGTCCATAGTAGAATATTTGTGGTGCACAAAATGGCAAATTCTTTTCACCTAAAGCAAATAATTGATGCAAAAGGGCTATCACTTTCAAGTTTCAAATGCTGGGTTAATTTTTGTTTTTTTTTAGTTTGTAGAAATATTCTGCTCCATAAATTTTTTCTTTGTTTCTCCGTAAAGAGGAAAGGGTTGCTTTCTTTTCTCAAAATTTCGTTGCATTTACACTTTGGTGGCAAAATTTTGATTGTGACATTTGCTTCACATTTGTGCTGCAAGATCGACACATAATGACATTTTCGTTCTAAGCTGAAAACAAATTATAAGAAAATAAAAGCAGCTCATTTCGAATAACTCGAGCATTTCACAAACGACGTGAAATTAGGTTTGTTTTTGTTGTTACTTATTTATGAAAATTATATATAAATCAGACTTCTAATAAAAGAAATTAATCAACGTGAACGTGAAGTGTGCTTAAAACAAATTATAAATAAATAAAAATGTGAGCTATTTATAATAACTTGAACTTTTACACGAGCTCTTATTTATTTTTAATATAATTAACAAGAATCAATTTATTTTGTAGAGAAAGGAAGCAATGAAAGAATATAAGTCGCTCAAGAGTCACCTACCGGCGTGAACGTACCATGCGAATGGTTGATTCTTTGATAAAAATAAATAATGGGCATTCATTCGATTGTTTAAATTTTCATATTGTCTCTAGTACTCATAAACAGTGCGTTCTATGAAATATGTGGATAAAAAGTGAGTTAAAATATGTAAATGTGCTGAATTTTCTAAGTGTGCTGATAAAATGGAGTTTGATTAGCACGTAAGCTTCGAAAGCTTTGTTGAAAGTGTACTTATTAAAGCTTTGTTTGTTTCTGATTAAAATCATATTTTAATTTAAGTTAAAGTCAAACAATTAATATTAACAACATCTTTCATGGGTCCCTCAGCTTTTCAATCACATATTTCAAAAACTTCTATCACAATTTACTACAAATCTAATTTTAATACAGATGAATAAATTAATGTTTTTAAAATGAAATCAATATAAGCCTACCCCATTTTCTCAAAAACTTATTTTCAACCGTACATTCTTCATTAAAATAATATTACACGCAAATTGAAATTTTTTCGTTATTATTTAACAGTACATTCTCTAAAAAATCACTATTTCAAAATACATTTTTCTGAAGATTTCATTTTAATGGATCCCAAACGAGGGCTAAATATGGATTAACTAGGACAAAATGGGCAATTGAATATTTCTAACTTGTTACACATTTTTTGTTAGACTGTAGGTGTAGATATTGATTCAAGGATTAGCATCAAGGATAATGTAGCGATTTTTTGGTAAATGGCTATTTAATAGGGGCAGCTAATTATACCACTCTTTAATTGTAATAAAAATCCTTAATTTTTGTTGTTTACTTCGAATTTATGTCCTCGTCTTTATTGTCGCATTCTTATTATTGATCTTTCATTAATTAGCATATCTTGTACTTAAAATGGTTATCGTCCAATTTTCCCATTAGAGTTCATTGAAATGAGGGACAAATAATATGCCATACATTTGTATATGTTGTTTTTTAGTTAATTTGAAAACATAAGCGGCAAACAAATCTTTCTAATGACATTTTTGGATAGAAATTGCCATCGACAAGAATATTAAATGGATTGAGCCGAACTAGCTTGCTTCATCAAATGTGAGATCCCTCGGCCTCGCCTCACCATTTCTTCGCTTGAGGGGCTAGTTGAGTTGGCTCACCAAATGTTTTTGGCGAAAATTGCATCTCGCTCATTAATTACGAGCCTCGCAAGCCAATTCATGCAAGTTGTGCTTGGCTAGCGCCTGCGGCTCGCTTTATTTAACATTCCTAGTTATCAAGGAAAAGATGCCTCAACAAATACAAGGCCGATAATGAGAATGCATGAAAAAAAGTTGAGAATAAAAATATGACAATTAACAAAAGATTAAAACTTTTTATGCAATTAAAAAGTACCGTAAGAGCATCTTCATCGATGCTTTAAATTAGATCCAAATAGTGACTTAGATATTCAAATTGGTCGAAAATCTCTCAAATTGGGAAATGAGCGAAAGAAATGCAAAGTGTATTTTTCGACAAAAATATACAGAATACGTAAATTTATATTATCATTCATTGAAAGTGAAAATAGACAACAAATAAAAATTTTTCGGACCAAAATCAATACAACTGCGAGGGAAAACCCCTCTTGAAAACAAAAGTTTTTCCTCCAAAATTTTCAAATGCTCCCTCTATTGTGTTTCCCTCTCCCTCCGAATCCGAATCCAAATCTGTATATGTTTCTCTATCTAATACTCTGTTTCTCCACATCGTACAGAGAGAAGGAAAAATGGGGAAGCAGAACAAATCAAGAAAACCAGAATTGGTAGGTAAAGGCAAGGTAACGCCGGTTCAGGTTGCATTCATCGTGGATCGTTATCTTTCGGACAACAAGTACATAACTACTCGCTCCACTTTTCGATCCGAAGCATCCCATTTGATTGCCAAATCTCCAGTTCAAGAAGTAAATCTTTTAATAATATTTTCGTTTTCCAGAGATTTATTGTGTTTTGAGCTGAAGATTTATTATGGATTTTTTATTTTGTGCTTCAGGCGCCGAAGAGTTTGTTGAGTTTGGGTGCAATACTGGATGAATACATAACGTTGAAGGAGCAGAAAGTGTTATTGGATCAAGAAAGGTGCCGTTTGGAGCAGGAGAAATTGAAGCTTCAGAAATTGCTAACAGGCATGCAGGATGTCATGAATGCTTATAATGCTAGCGGAAATAATGTTGTTACTCCTCCGCTGCCCCTGCCGCTGCCGACAGCTGTGGCATCTCAGAAAATGGTACAATCGAGGGCTATAATTTCGCCGTCTGACCCCGCACTTATGACGCCGGCAGGTAACTTTTAATGCCTTTTTGTACTCAGTTTATGGTTTGATTAGTTAGTCGAGACAAAATTGTTTGCTTGAGATCTGGAACATCCAGATGAAAATTTCTTAATTTTGGTGTTCCGCTCCAATATGCCCTAGTTTTCATTGGGGGGTTTTTAGTTTCTGCCCAAGTTAATTTTATGAGTTAGTGAAAATGTATATGGAAAAAGCTATGATTGAATATATATTGTAGCTACCACAATCCACGTAGTTGCTGAGTGTTGATCATCTCTTGTCGAGAAAAATTAACTAGGAAATGTGGTTGTAACCCTGCAACACTTTCTTCGTGCACAATGGCTTGGTGATGCATGAATTTAAATTGCGATGGGATCTTGACATCAGTTTCCAGTTGTAGCAATGCATTGAGTTCATTCTTTAAGCCATTTTCTACTTTTAAAGATTAAAATTTCTATTCTAGGTAGCTGAATCCAAGCACGGTGAACTTACGTTCTTGCTCTGTGGGTTCTTAAACAAGATCCATCAAGAAACTCAGAAATGTTTCTTTATTAGTATTTTTACTATATCTACTAAATTGGCATGAATTCATTGATCTCTAATGAAGGCCATGGAAGTTTTAGTAATTGGTTGCCCTTTCTATATTTATCATCAGGTTGTTATCCCATGTACAATAATTCAGTTACGATGTCTACATCTGGGCCTTCTAACTCTCAAACAGATCCAAAAATTTTCTCTACCCCGATTACAAATCAGCCCAGTGGTAAAAGGAAAAAATGCAAAGATGTTTCAGATGCTTTAGTGACTGCTAAGAGATGTAGCAGGCGAATACAAACCAAAGGTAAATTCTTTGCGGAAGTTGGTCTCCTTCATATGTTATTATTACTTAAAATTGTCCTGGTGCTCATTAGCTGCATATTTTATTTGTAGATTCAAACACACCTCCCCAACTAAGCAATGCAGAAGCGAAACAAGAAAGTTCCTCAAAAGGTTCTGCAGTTCAGTTGTCTGCTGATGACAATGCACCCGGTGGTTCGCTAGCTCAAGGATCTAATGTTGTCAAGTGTTTGTTCAATCAGAATATTACATCCTCTCCAGCTAATTCCTCTGTTCCTAAAACACCTACACGGGCATCTTCCTCTGAAACTGACAAATCAATTTCTCCGTTGGTTACTGTTACTCCCTGTGAAGACATTACTCCTCAACAAATCACATCCACTGACTGCACCATAGTCTCTTCGGAGACAATTCTAGTAAGCCCTGCCAAACAAATAGCCTACTATAGAATAGAGAAAAATCGCTGCATTTCAACTTCCTCACCAGTTAAGACAAACTTGACAAGGTCTAACAAGGACCATGCGAAAGGAAGGCTAGATTTTGGTTCTTCCAATATGCCAATAATTGCAGAGAACCAAACACCTGATGGTACCACAACATCTGAATCTGACAGGGAAGGAGATATCCTTGACTTGGATTTTCCGAATTTGGATGCTTTGGGTTTAGACTTTAATCTTTCTGAACTTCTGGTTGACTTTGATCTTAGTGGTGAAGGACTTGATTTTTCTTCACAGCAAGCAACCAGTTATACTCCAGATTCCTCTACGGGGTAAACTAATCTTGCATTCTCTGTGACAACCCTTTTATCTAATTTTCTTCGTTACCTAAATCTCTACTTACTGATGGCAGATCGCCTCATACATCAGGATATCAAGTTATGTCACACTTTTTGTCATCTACAAAGGGAATTCTTCCAGAGGACTCAAATTTATTAGGTAATTTCTCATGAGTTATTCGTATTCATGCAGTCTTACATCTTGATTATGAAACACTAAATTTGTTTCCTCGCTCCTGTACACCAGAGGGTCCAGATTCTGTTACCACTCTGAAATCTATCACTAAACGTATCAAGATCTCAAGTCCTGGTAATTTTTAGTCTAAGATCATTTTTTTTATTTTCCTTTTATGTTTATGATGCATATTAGATTATTTGCTTTATTGCAGCTAAAAAACAGAGCTCTTTGGATCAGGATATTTTGTCGGCCTGAGACTGACCGGATAACTCTACAGACGATTTTTTACACTGATATGGTACCAGTTTAGGACTCCCAACAATAGTTATGCTGATATTCAGTTTTAGGTTGTCCCTATTTGTCAGCACTACGTAAAGTCATAGTAATTTGTTAGGATGACAAGTCATTTAACTTTGTTCAGTTCTGGTGGCAACCATCCTTGTTGAATATTGGTTGCATATCAGTAGTTAAAATCTAAACATTAAACTACAATGTTATTAGGGCAGTCTTATTATTAAATGATATTATATTCAGATTCTGGTTTGGTTCCTGTCATTTACTATATTCACTCTATTAGTGATGAAAGTATTGCTACTGCATTTGGTCGAATTTTGGAACATTCACAACTTCAAAACCGAGTTACAATAACAGTAAAGTTTAATGATGTGTGGACGACTTATCTGAAAAGGCTAGACAATAAGATGTCCAAAGCAATTTGTCAGTTTCAATCCCAATTTTACAAAAAGATTTGTTGGATTATGACCATTTCCTCGTACTTTCTAATCGTGTCAAGTTGTGTGTTCAGAAATAAATGCTAAAGAACATTGCTAATGTGAGAATCAACTCTTTAGTATAAGAAAGACTTTCCACTGATTTCTTCTTGAAAGATGGGGGAAAACTATATTAACAATATTAAACCTTTTACAGTATAATTAAGCCAAATATTTCTCCACCTCTTCAGTACTTCCAATGTACAAGGGCACTCGCTGATGTATCTGCACGAAAATGCAAGAAAAAAAATCGAAACTGAAAGATGAAACCTGAGGAATATAATGTAAACAATATGCAATAGAGATCAAATTTCCTAGTATCATTTGACACGCCTCAGTTGGTAGAATATCAAGGACTCTGTGTTGCCCGTCTGATCCTTTGCCACCGGCTTGTTCAACAATGAAGCTCATTGGTGCACGTTCATACAGGAGTCTAAGCTTCCCATTTTTGCTCTTTTTGTCCCTGGGATACCCATAAATCCCACAATATAACAAAGTCCTATGAAAATCACCAACCAAACTACCAATATATCTAGCAGAATAAGGTTTGCCACTTGGACCAGGATCCTTAAGAACATCAATGTACTTCTTCAATTTATCATCCCACAACTGGTAGTTGCCTTCGTTAAAAGCATAAATCTTTCCAGCCTTTGGTATCTGAATGTTTTCTTGAGTAAGCACAAATTCCCCAAACATGGGGTCCAATGTGAATGCAAAAACACCTTTTCCTAAGGTGATCACGAAATCACAGAGCTCGAGTACATCTGTACATGCAATAGCTTGCGGCGAGAAGATTATTTCCAGGTTGACACCCATTCACTACACACCTTTGTTCCACATTGTCAAGCTGCAACAGATCAGATTGTACAAGATACTTGTTTTTGGTAGATTTTTATTTCAGTCTCGACTTATGCTACTAATCTTCATTAATGAAATAAACGTAGAATTGCAGTATACCGATGACCGTGGCATCATCTCCAATATCTGCTAGGCACTCATCATTTGGACTGTAAATTCCAAAAAATGAACCTGTGGGCACAGTTGCATCAATGTTGGATGATCCATCAAGAGGGTCGAAAACAACAATGTAGTTGCCAGAGTAACTCTCTTCCACAGCCACTGGTACATCTTCTTCCTCGGATGCAATAATTCCTGTCCTTCCACTTGACCTCAAGCAATTAGAGAACACCTAACGTTTACATCATACTTATAACGTACTATTAAACCAGTTTGTTTAAAAGCTTAATCTGTTAGAGATAGTGCATGTTTATTTATTTAATTAAGTATTAAACAATCACCCTAAAGTTCAAGCTCTGCACGTCTACGTGCTTCATAAATGGATGGAGTCAACTCAACATCTCTACCAACTCTGATACCATGTTAAACTACTATATTTAGAGGGATAGACGTTACCTCGTTGGAGAATACATCATGCTTTTTCTGATCCTCTCCTTGGACATTAACAGCACCCAGAACTTCAGTGAGGTTAGAAATGCTAGCCCTTTGAACTAGAGAAGCAATCTGCTTACACGCCATTGAAATACTCGAAAGTACAAGTACTATAGTGAGTTCAGCATCAATAATACCAGCCTGTTCTTGCTTCAACAGCCAGTTGGTCAATGTCCCAATCTCATACCACTCTCTTCTTTGTCTCTGTATTTGTCGTCACCGCCACGCATCGTATTCCCGCGCCACCACCTGCCAGCTTTGTCCTCCTTCTGACGCCACCGTTGAGAGTCTTGGCGTCCAACCCGCGTAGTTGGAAGGGGGAGAAACGAGAGAGAATGGATTGGGAACTTGAAAAGAGAAGATGTGATGCTGTTGAAGTTGCAGCCATGGTGATTTTTCTTGGCCACTTTACAGTTCTCTCTTACAAAATCTTCTCTCCCAATTTGTAACGCTGGTTTGTAGCTTCATTTCTTTAATTTTTATTTAAATTTATTGTTAGATTGTAAGGCTGGACCTGGCTGGTAACAATTTCTTCTCATCTGGTCCCACTTATCTTCCTCTCAAGTTGAGGCATTTATATATTTTTACTCAAGATGGAAATAATTATATATTAAAAGTTTAGATTAGATTCATTCAGTTAGTTTTACTTTTATTACTTAATTTATATTAAACGGTTTCTCGAAGTTAATCTCACATTTTATGGTACGTACAATTTTTCAACCACATATTTCATCAATTTTTATTAAAATCTATTAAAAATCTAATTTTAATATCTACAAAACAGGGACTAAATATTAAAGTTTTTTTTGAAAATAAATGAATAGTTTTTTCGTGTTCTATTTTTTTTTTTTTTTAGAAATAATGTTTACTTGTACAGTATCTGTCCCATTTCATTTCATTTTTTTTTTCATTTTCGTGCAACCTTTGTGGGAGATAGGTCGACAAAATTTTGGCTAAGAATTTTAGATTTCACATACCTTAGTTTTGTAAATTGTGAGATATTTATAGAGTTCAAGGTGCATAGGCATTCTTACATCGTGGATGAGCTTTTTTACAATTGTGTTGACAGCGTGTGATCGATTCGTCGTTGACTTACCCGATGTGGCGGTGATTGATAAAGGTCACTTTCATCTGCTCTTTGTGCATGCTTATTTGTTGTTTTGCTTTTATTTGTCTTCTCATGGAGTCATTCATCTTTCTTTATTCGAACAAGCAAACGTATGATAAATTGTGCCCATTAGGAAACTACCTCGACCCACCTGTCACGGGATATTTGTTGCATAGTATCTACAAGTCACATAGGCCGATGATGATTAATCTAGATTAATATCATTATTATATCTTTTAAGAGTTTTTATATTAATAAATTTTTATGGATTTTTCAAAAAAAAAAAAAAAAATAGTTGGTTGGTAACTTCAAATGCGGATATCTAAAACAGCCACACAGAAACCATTGAAAATCCGGCCGGCGATGTCTCCTAAGATAACCGCCTTTGTCGGAACTCACCTTTTTATGGAATTTCGTGCGCACCATTTTCAGTTTACTTCAATAGACTTCTCCACATCCACCTTATATATACATAATTCCTCCATTGAAGTTTTCGCGCAAACCTATTCCTTCTTCACCAAATTTGGAAACGAAGCAAATTCAAACGATGGCTGTTTCTTCAATCAAATCGCCATTAGTTCTCTTCTTTGCGCTCTCCCTCTTCCTCCGAGGAGCATTCGGTACATCTCCATCTCTCTCTATATTTGTAAATAAATGTGTGATTTTTAATACATAACTTTCTCTGAATCAGCTGAGGTGATTTGCGACAATTTGCCGACGAATTTTTGTGCATTTGCAATTGCATCATCGGGGAAAAGATGTGTGTTGGAGAATTACAGAAACGACGTCGGAAAGCTGGAATATACATGCAAGACGTCGGAGGTGGTTGTTGAGAGAATGGCTGGATATATAGAGACCGATCAATGTGTAAAAGCATGTGGCGTTGATCGGAGCTTCGTCGGAATATCCTCAGATGCCTTACTTGTGCCGCAATTCACCCAAAGGCTGTGCTCGCTGGCGTGTTATCAGAATTGCCCTAATATTGTCGACCTTTATTTCAACCTAGCTGCCGGAGAAGGAGTATATCTACCTCATCTGTGTGAGAAACAAAAGACTGAGCCTCACCGTGCCATGATGGCGCTTTTGAGCAGCGGTGGCTTCGCCCCTGGTCCGGTGGCCGAAGAACCTACTGGTTCTGTCGCCGATGCACCAGCTTCTTCGCCTTTCTAATTAATTAATTTAATTCTCATAATTTTTGCAAATATTGTAAATGAAATTATCGAAGAACAGCTATATCGCATTGTTTTGGATTGGGTTTGCGGTCAACCATTTAAATTTCGAGTTTAATAATCACATAAATTTAATTTATTCATCAATTTTAATTAATTATTTGGTTTCATTTGAATAGATTTAGAAAATTAACATCAATTTCATCGAGCAAAATGTTGACATTTGTATACTATTACTTCATCACGATACCATATCAAACTTACAAAAATGTAAAATAAAGAATGAATTCAAGGTTACAAATAACGAAAAACAATCGAATGAACAATAACACAACAATAACAAATAAAATTTCTGAAGAATATTAACATTTAGGAAGATCTGGAGGAGGTGGAGGCAGGCTTGTTGATGGCGTTGGTCCATTCTCCACGACGAAAGCAGTAGCAAGACCCCAAGGCAAGTGTACGTCCAAGTGACAATGCATCAACCATACACCTGAAACAACCACATATTCAAATGTAAAATATATATGTACACGAGTCCTAATAACCTTCCCTCAATGGGCAGGATAAAAAAAATTACCACCACTGGCGTGACAAGAGAATCTGAACCATAAGGTTATCTTGCCACGTCACAGTGGAAAGTTTTTATTCTATCCACTAGTGGTAAAAGATCAATTCCGATACCAATATATGCAAAATTCACATATAGATATAGTGATGTAAAATAGGCTGGATGAGATTGGAACGGTCCATCTTTTTCTCAAAGGTGGACGGACGCTCACAACCTAGCCTAGTGCACAACTTCTTAGGCCTGATATTGAAGACCATCTAACTTACCTGGATTATTTGCTCGGAATCTAACCACAGCCCATCCTCCAACCGGCACGCCGATGGTATTACGCTCTTGTGGGTTTACAAAGTTGAACTTTTTAGTGTCCCTAGTCCTATTGAAGTTGCCAAATCCTTGAGCCAAAACATAGAAGTTGAATCCATGCAAGTGTATAGGATGATTTTCGATCCCAATTAGAGCTGTATTCTGCATCACAATCTCTACCGTTGCATTGTACTTAACTTTCTTCACTTTTGTCGACTTCGTAGTCATTATGATTGCTCGATTAAGGCTGTTATTAGGATTTGTATAATCAAATCTCACTGGTGGAGTATTAGGAAAATCAGTGGTATAAACTCCACCAACGTTGTTGAAAAATGCCTCCAGCATTGACAATTTATTAGGAAACTGGAAAGATGCATTATTCATGCTAGCAGCAAATCTTTGCCCAAGTGGGCCCGGGCAGGATGTGTTCCCTGGGCTTCCACATGGAACCAAGCCCAGCCCAACAGTTATAAACATACGTTCGTCCACTTTTTTTGGTACAGGGCACCAGAAAGGCCCAGTAACAAGCCCAGTTAGATTGCTAAAAAATTTGTGGGCGGTAGGGGTGTCATTGAATGCTGGAAGGACAGGCATTTTAGGGGTGGATTGGGTAGCACCCTTGTACACTATAATCCCAGTTGTTGTAGTGTTATCAAATGGAACTCCTGCTGCACTAGCATAGGGATTTGCTGCCATGTAGTACAGTGCCGGTGGCTGATCGGCCTTCAAGAGAACATCTGTGGTCTGTCCGGGCCCAGTTACCACGACGTCGGTGACATAGGGATTTGTGTACGTAGCATCGACTGCAACCACTGTCATTTTGTGATCGGCTATCTTGAAAAATAGTTGGTTATTGAGCGCAGCATTGATGATACGCAAGAGATACGTTTTTCCTCGTTTCACTTTTAGCCGATATGTACCTGCAACAAACGATAGTATTTCTTCAGCTTAACAAAATCTCCATTTAAAAGTACTAAAAATTAGTAGAACTCTTGTGCGTGTTAACTTACTATTTGAAGAGCACGGGTAAAGATCCCCGGTGCGACCATTGATTGTGTACGCGTCTGATACGTTAGGTGCATTTCCGGTTGCTAGAGCTTCATTTTCTACGTCAATAACATTAGCATTCCACCATTCTCCTGCAAGCAAATGATAAAATTAACTTCATATAAAATATTAAAGATAAACATAAATTTATTTATTTAGTTAATTACCAAGAAGAATGGGGACTTCTTTGTGTGGCTTTGGAAACGGATATGACCGGCCAGCCCTGGGTCGGATAATTAAGGCTCCATAAACTGTCGCCCGGAGCCACTGAACATGTGCATGCCACCAGAGAGTCCCCTCCTGCCTTGTAATGTTAAACCTATAGGTGTAGCTGTGTCCGGGCCGGATCGGACACTGGGTTGTGAATTCGGGTCCATCAGCCCACCCGCTGAGCAATTGGAAAACTCCATGCCTGTTACACAAATTATTTTCTATTTTATATTCCGCTAATGATAATGACAGATAATTAAAATAATCTTCAAAAAGTCTAGAAATAGACCGATTCCCTTGTCTTGATTTGATTTATACGTCTAGTGGCTGAATTTCAAATGTCATTTGACTTTTAAAAATATTTTCTTTCAAGAAGAATACATATATTTGCCTTTTTTTTTTCTTTTTCAATTTTAAAAAAGACAACTGTATCGAATAAGACAGATAAATTAGACCTAAAACATGCATAAGTTAGCTGCATGCAAAATTTGTAATAGAAAAGCACACGCAACAACTAGTTGTCTGGTATTTGACAAATAATTAGATTGTCACGTGACCTTTTGTTTGAATCAAAGCAATACATTTGAATTGAGTGACCAACTTGTACAATATTTGTACTTACATGAAAAATATTTTTCATAGGACTCACCGCTTATAATCCACAAAATAAAGGGAGGGAGAGAAAATCTTACCAATGAATAGTGAGGTTGTACGGGGAGAGGTTAAAAACATGGACGACAAGCGTATCACCCTCTCGTACACGGAGAGATGGGCCTGGAAGACTTCCATTTACTGCAGTGATCACTTGTGTCTTGCATAATCGCTTGACAGTATGATTTTTCACCTATATAAAGAAAATTGCCTGTTAATGCAAGTATCGAGTTTTTCTTTCTAACATCAACTAATGTTTAAGAGAATCAAGCGCATATGTCACGGCGTTAGCTTTTCTACCCTTTTAGTAGGAAGGGACCAACCATTACTATATTACACGAATTTACCGATCATGCATACAACTTATTTCCTGAAGTGAACTGTATAATACTCGACTAAAGAAGTTAAAATTCTGTTTATGCTTGAAAAAATTACATGGAATGAATGCTCTACGATTGCAGCCGAAGCATACGAAGAAGCCAAAAGAACCAAAGCAAATCCCAGCAAGAAAACTGGGCTTGTTCTCATCTTGAAAGAGTAAAACTAACTTAGACAGGAGGTTAAGAAAAACTATGCAAAAGATTGAAGAGAAATCCTTCTTTTTGTAAGAAAAACTCTCTGCTGTCGAAAGGCGGCAATCTATGAATTCTTATTCAAACTTGCTTGGTTTATGGTCTATTTATAATATTACCTGAAACAAATCTTGAATCTCCAATTGTTGCGTGAAAGAAAAATGTATTTGAAAATTGGTTTAGTTATGTGTTAGAGGAAACTTCGTTACCTAACTGTACAGAGTTGGCCATCAAAGAAACTATTAAAAATGAGTATTTGAGCTAAGTTTTGCTATATCTGATTGGTCATCTTGACTGCTTCTTTAAAATGAGTAGGTACGTGAATTGTCAAACTGTGGTTTTCAACTCGTCGGCACCAGCATGAAAGTCACGGTCAATGGTGCACTTTTTTCTTACACATGGCTCTGAGTGGGATTCATTTCTTCGTTTTGAAAGATCAAAATAGATTTATATAGATCATGAATATTATAGATACTATCTTTACTTGCACACGAAGGGACTGCAAATCACATATTGAATTAACACCTCGAATCATTGAACTTGTGTGCGAGACTATAATAGAGCTTGATTTTTCATCTGTTCCATACATGAAATTTCATTTCTTGTTTGCATATAGTTTTTACATTTCTTTGTTTGCTCGATTTTTTTTTTTTTTTCAATTTTTGTTCGGGATTCAAATCAAACTCAACATTCCGAAGTTAGCCACTTGACATTGATGGAGCTACAAAGCCAAAACATGAACTAAAGGAAGATGGTGCAAGAGAGGCTAGAGCTCATTTTGAAAAATATTGTCATGAATAAGACAAATTGTTAGTGAATTATGTCCTATGTAAAGTTAAAATAAATTATTAATTATAGCCAAATTTCTTCCTTAATCTAGAATAGAGAACACCTAATTATCCAAATCTTCTTATTACAATTTGAAATTAGTGTACTAAAATGAATTTGTTGGTTTTAAATTTCAAGACCGTTGAAAAACAGTTGCCTTGAGTATCACGTATCCTCCAAGCATTCAACCAACTCTACCTTCCTCCTCCAACAAGACAACCACTTTTATAGAAAAAACTAAACAAAACTTTACATACACAAAAAATAATATGTAAATATATTTTAAAAGTAAACTAATTAATAAGCCCTCGTTCGGCCCCCATTATCCCAAAAAATCATTATCCTCTCTTATTTTTTACCACATAATTTTTTATAAAATAATATTACACGTAAATCGAATTTTTTTTCTTCTTTTTCAACTGAACATTCTCCAAAAAAAATATCATTCCAAATATTATAATTTCAAATAATGAAGACCAAACGGTTTGCATATGCAAGTCAAAATGTTACATTTGACCTCCAACACAATGTCTCCCTTTTTTTCACTACACCATTTGGTCCTTTATTTCAAGTATAACTAATGTTTGAATGTCAACCATTCAACATTATTGTAACCTAAATTTTGCAAAAAAATCTCAAATATAAAACAACAATCAAATTCAAAAGCAAATAAATAAATCTGAAATTACCATTTTTTGGTAGTTTTTTTTTTTGTTTTTGTTTTAATGTAGTCTGATTTTTGAATATTGTAAAAAAAGATGAACAAACAAGAATTAGTTCATCTGATTTTGAAGATCCATCGTCGTCTACCGCCAATAATGTAGAGGATTCTTTTACATTGAATTCATTATCGATTGATTTTTTCATCTGAAATCAATTCTCCCAAGTTTTATAATCAATATAGAATGCTTCCTTCTCAAATTGTAGAATAATAGGGGAAGGATTTCGGAAAAAATAATATAAGAAGAATAACATTGGAAGAATAGAGCGTATTTTTATGTTTTTTATTATTTGGACCAAATTACAATTTGGTCTTAAAAATTGGTGTAATCCTGCAATTTTCCAATTTTATAAGAATGATGGGCTACGATAAGCAAGCCTACAAAATTGGCCCATACCATTACAAATAGAACCGACCCGGTTAATAGAGCTATTTATTTTTAAAAGAGGTCAATTTTACTGATGGATATCGAACTTTACACTTAGTATCATATTGGCCACTGAACATTAATATGTTGTAGAAACACCTCTTAATTTTACAAAATATTCCATTCAGACCCTGATTCATTTTTTTATTGATTAGGGAGTGGAGGGAGGAAGGTATGATGGTCTTTGGAATAACCAGATGATCATGAACATAAAATATTCTTTCCCGGCTACACCTTCTTGATTTGGGACAAAAGAAAATTAATTGTCGTTACCCAATAAGTTTTTTGCCACTGAAATAAAAAATACACTATGAAAAACAGATTATCGAGAAATATAAATTATATGCAACCAAACGATGCAAAGACTTATCTTTGAACCTTGCCAATCCACTAAAGAAAAGGTAGTCTCCGGCCATTTCTTGCCCTTTCTTGCACCCTTGAAAGACGCACATACCCCTATAGAATCTTTTTAGAGGAAGGCAAGCACTAATACGAATTGGATTGTGTAACTTCACTAAAAAAGAATTTTTATTTGTGAATAAAATTATTATATTATTACGGAATACAATTCAAAAATCATTTTTTTTTAATTCTTTTGTACGATTTCATCCTTAAACCAATTGAGACAAATTGAATTGGAAACCTTGATTCAGTTGGATGTTCAATTTTTAACTAGAAATCTTACTTTTTCTCATGCCAAGTCATCAAACCATAAATGTTTTTAGTTAAACCCTATAATTTGATACGCATCACGTAGAACGTTCAGTTAAAAATGGACGTCAAACAGACTTGGTGGTCTAAATGACAATTTTTTGAAAGTTAAGTGGGGAATCTAAAGTAAATTGAAGTTTAGTAACCAAGGTGACACTAAGTAAAAAGTTTAGTGGCATTAAAGAAATTAACCGTTCAAGACCTTTTCTATAGGAGTAATTTCTGAATTGAACTGAATTGAGGTTTAGGGTTTGGAAAAGAGCTATCAACTATCTCCCGCCGAGCTCTCTGCATTATTCTACTCAGATCCAATGGCTTCTAGCAATTCCCCATCTGCCCATGAGAAAGAACAGGTATTTTCCTCGCATTTTATACAGGATACACACTGGGACAGCTGTTATTAACATTATTATTTAGACGTTTTCATGATTTTTGAGAATTTAATTTACTTTTGAGTAGATATTTGGAATGGCTGAGAAAGAGATGGAATACAGGGTGGATTTGTTCAACAAGTATGTGAACCCTGCCTTTTGCCCTTGCATATAATTCTTATTAACATTAATGTTCAATCTTTCTGGTGAAAATATTTTTATCTTTTTTGGTGGTTTAATGTTAATGCAGAGCTTGAATCAACTTGGTATTTAGACACACTCTAATTAAGTATTTTCTGAGCCAAATAGAAAGTTAGGTTAGAATTTCTTCTCAGGCTTATTTTAACCTGGATGTTGCTTGTTAATGGTGAGCTTAACTTGATGAAAGAAGAAAACTTACAATGCTTGGTAGTTGACTACAACTATATCTTGTTACACATTATTGATGCCTGCAATTTTGTGCACCTGTTCCTCCAGAATTTATTTGATGATGGGTTTATTTTAATCCAGGCTTACGCACACGTGTTTCAACAAGTGCATTGAGAACAAGTATGCACTCTAAACTTCATTTACTGCAATTACTCATTTTGAGCAAAAAATTGAAGTACTGAGTTCTAGAAATCTTGCAATTTGGAGCAGTTTAGAGTATTTGCTCCACTAGAATAAAGGTATTTGTATTCAATTGGGTGCTTAAAAGGATTGTGCTTCGTGCATATTCAGGTACAAGGAATCTGAGTTAAACATGGGTGAAAACAGTTGCATTGACCGTTGTGTGTCGAAGTATTGGCAGGTGAATTAATAATTTTTGCACTTCAGATTTATTTAATGTTTCTGCTGGACTCTTATATGAATGTGTGTGCTTCAATGGCTGCAAATGTTATCATTTGAATTGACTGCAATACATTTTTTGAGCAAGTCATTTTTGTATTTGTTGTTACTGCGTAGTATGAGAATGAGAACAAAACTAATAATAATTTTGTGCTACATCTATGGCTCACAACACATTAGGGTATTTGATTTATTGGCGTAGATATGATAGAATTGAGTTGTCCTTATGGAAGTTTCAACAGATCCCTATTGTTTGTGAGACAAGAACAACAAACAGAACCTGCTAGTTGGTAAAACATGTTTTCCTGGTGCTAATTTTGATGGCACGTTATCTGAGGAATTCGTAATGAAACAATAGATTTAATTAAAGAGGATAAAATGTACAAGTTTTTCGAATGCTTTTCTTTATGGTGAAATTTAACCCCTGTTTGGGTTCCATTTTTTCAAGAAAATGTGTTTTGTAATATTAAAAAGTTGGAGAATGTATGATTAAAAAATTAGGAAAAGTTTTAGGTTTACATGTGAAATTATTTTATGGGAGAATGTGCGGTTGAAAGTGAGTGTTGAAAAAATGGAGCCCAAAAATGGGCTTAATATTGTTCCCTATTATTTGGCTAAACTTAAAAACTTAAATAAATAAGTTTGTTTTAAAATAAATAGATTTTCTATTGGTCAAAGTTGGAAATAAATAAATTACTTATTTGAATCAACCCTAGCTTATTGTCAAAGTAAGTGACAGTATGTAACTAGCAACAAAAAATTGAACTGTAACCTTAGCTAAATATCATGAACTTATTTCACATAGGACGACCAAAAAGTTGATGTTGTCTCAGCGTCTGGTGATTATATACTTGTACAAATTGCAAAAACTAGTGAATAGTGATGTGGAAAAAGTGATTTCCTTGTCACATTCTTGACTATTTCTTGAAAGAAAATGAGAATTAGTCCTTAAATTAGAGGTGGAAAATCGCCCAAATATTTGTCACTGTTCTTGAGCCAGGTTAGGACTAGATTGCAAAGTACTTGTAGGCTGAGCTGAAAAAGATGTGCAGTGAACCTTCCTTAGGGAATGGCTCATCTGCAGAGGTGGAAAATTGGGGGAATAGGCGTAAATAGGATAAAGAGTCACCTACACGTCTATCCTCTTGTGGGGTGAAAAACGGGTCAAGCTCGAGTCATTCATCAACCAAGTGACATATAAGAGTAGGGTTAACCATTAAGAAAGTTTAGCAGTCATCTAAGGACCAAAAAATTTAAGAATTTTCATATATGTACCTACCATTCTTCATTCTCTTTTTACAAAAAATCTGTAAAAGAAAATCAATTGTTAAGATTCTTTTACTAATTACTTGGGACACAATATTCAAGATGGTTTGATACAAATATTAGAAATTGAAGTCAAAGTGTACAATTATGAAGAAATAGAAAGATGAAAAGTATTTTTCCATATACGGTAAACTCAATAAGAAAAAGTTAATGATCACGGTTCTAACATGAAGGAAATCAACAACTTATGCAAAAAAGGTATTGCAGATTAATTCCCTAGTGGTCTACGTAGTTTTAGTTCGGTACTCTTGCGTTGTTGCCAACTTGCCATCATTTGTTAGAACTGTATCATTTTTTTAAGAGTTCTGCAACGCAGAATTATTATTCTCTTCTTTGCCTAAGTGCTGAAAAATATTGAAAGATAACATATCAAATTTAACCACTAAATTGTTGTCACAAACTCATTGAGAAAGTTGTGCCTAAAGTATTTAAGACAATTTGATTTTGTACTCCAAAAATAAGAGATGCTTTGTTTGAACTAGCAACTAGCGACGACTCTAAAATAAAGAGAGAAGCTAAATGTTTAGTGATATATGAAGCAGAATTTTTTTACCCATTGCCTTATAAATCCCTTCTTGACTGCATTCAAATGCTCTCCACAGGTAACTAATCTAGTCGGTCAATTGCTTGGGAATAATCGACCTCCAATGTGAGGGAGATAATTTTGCACCGGATTTGAAGTTGTGACAAATATACATGGCTTGTAATCGGCCAAGAACCTCATTGAGAGAAAATAAGAAATCGAAGATGACACTTTGTTATTCTTCAGACTTGCGAGAAACATTTTCAGATGTAGAACTATTTGTTTTCCTGTCCTGCCACAATGAATTATTTTGATAATATTTAGTGAGTCGATAGTGTATCTGTCAATTAATTATATGACAATTTAGTTAAATATCGTGTCAAAGCTTGGTGTAGTGGCCATTTAAATAGAAAGGGTGGTATTATTGGCACTATAGCTTGTGTCTTTTTAACTTTTTTCATTGAATTTTTACTTTCTATTAATTAACATATCTCGTCCTTGACGATGATTTTTGTCAAAATACTCTTTTTTCGTGCTTTGAAATGGGGAAAACAAATATTTTTTTCACTTTTTTATTATTATTATGTTCAAATAAGTCGTGTTAAGCTCTCTCAATGGACCTTTGGACAGAAATGGTTATCATTAGAGATAAAATGTGCTAACTAATAAAATGTTGATGATTAGAAAGCAACGAGAAAAAGTTGAGGACATAAATCTTATAATCGACAAAGATGGAAAACGTTATATAAAATTAAGCATTGCGTAATAAATAGAAAATAAAAATTATGTGAATATAATTGCCTAAATCAAAATTGTTTTCATTGCTGATGGAATTCCTACTTAATAGTCTCAAGTTTCTCGATATGTAGCTGCAATGTTGGAGTACAGTCGAGATAATGATCACAATCCATGTCCATCCGCTATCGTAGTTTTGGCACTGATATTGACTCCTGAATGAAGTCGACGGACCTATGCAGAGGTAGGATCTTAAAATCACTCAAGAGAATGATCTCTCGACTCAATATATCTGTAACTTAATCGATGAATAAAACAAGTGGAAAGATCGTTGTCTTATGAAATTACGGTCGTCTTGAAGATTTTTATGTTGATGTGATCCCTTTGGATAAGCATCAACCAGTCTATTTCTGAACCACTAAAGAAGGTGGAGTTGGTGAAGAATACTCATAATCAAGAAGGAAAAGAAAAGAATGAGAATGGGGACAAATCATTCTGATGAAAGTACAAGTCTTAGGTGTCAAAAAATTTTGAGGATTTATTTGTTCATTTTACCTCTAATCCTATCTAGATTTGAATTTGGCGTATTTCAGTTTGTTCCCACAAATGATTTTCTTTTTATTAATTTAATTACGAATTGAACTGTAATAAAACCTAAATTTATTGAACACTTATTATCTTTGTTGAATATAATCTCATGTTAGTAAGAGGATCTCCAATGCACCCATGGCTTGCTTAATCATACAAGTAAGAATAGACGATTTAAAAAAAATAAAATAAAATAAAAATATATATATATCATTGAAGACGATCAGGAACTCCATCGAGCTGGAAAAAAAAATTGACAATACCTAGAGCTAAGTCTAAATTCAGAAGCTCTGTTTAACTAATATCTCAACTACTACGATTTTTTTTTTGTTAATTTAGATTTAAACGTAATTTCATTTTTATCATAAAAAAGGGACACCTATCTAGCCATCCATTGAATGCATTGGAAATAAATTTTAAACTAGAGTGTCTATTTAGGGTTAATTTCACAAACAGTCACCGAAGTTTAAAACTAAATAGTCACTGAACTTAGTTTTAAGACTATTATGTCTTAATTCAAACCTCTAAAGCACGAAAACACGTGGACAAAGAAGCTGGAGAACCTCAAGTGCAAAATCTAACTTAAAATCTCCCCAACTCCAAACGTAGACCACCACTTTTCGCGCCCCATTCCACCACATTCCGGCCACCAAAACCACTGAATCAACACACCATCTTGANACCACATTCCGGCCACCAAAACCACTGAATCAACACACCATCTTGAAGCCCTCACTTTCCTCTATGCAACCCACCCAAGAACCACCCCTACCTTCGACGGTGGTGGTCGGAATTTCGTCCCAAAGTGGGCCTCTCGCACAGCCGGTAGTTTTGTGCTGTGTGAGAGGCACACTTTTGGACGAAATTCCACCACTTTCCATCCACCAAAATCACCGGACCAACACACCACCTTGAATCCCTTGATGTCCTCTATGCAACCTACCCAAGAATTGCTCCTAAATCCGTTGGAAAGTAGCCGAGATTTCTTCCCAAATTGGCAGGCTCTCACGGCAAAAACTACCAGCGAACGAAGAGGCATTGAAGAGTTAGACAAAATTCCGGCAGCTTTCCGAAGGATTTAGGGATGATTCTTGGGTGGGTTGCGTAGAGGGAAGCGATGACTTCAAGGTGGTGTGTTGGTCAGGTGGTTTTGGTGGACGGAAAGTGGTGGAATTTCGTCCAAAAGTGTGCCTCTCACACAACACAAAACTGCCGGCTGTGCGAGAGGCCCACTTTGGGATGAAATTCCGACCATCACAGTCGGAGGTAGGGGCGGTTCTTGGGTGGGTTGCATAGAGGGAAGCGAGGGCTTCAAGATGGTGTGTTCATTCGATGGTTTTGGTGGCCGGAATGTGGTGGAATGGGGCGCCAAAAGTGGTGGTTTGAGTTTGAGGTTGGAGAGATTTTAAGTTGAATTTTACACTTGAGGTTCACTAGCTTCTATGTCCACGTGTTTTGGTGCTTTAGGTTTGAATTAAAACATAATAGTACTAAAACTAAGTTCAGTGACCGTTTTGTTATTTTCGCGTAACTTCAGTGACCGTTTGTGAAATTAACCAATCTATTTATTAGATATTAATGCCACATAGACTAAAAGTCCCTCAACTTGTGTCATCTAAATATTAACTCAGAATGCATTGGAGATGCTCCGAAGTTTTCAAAGTAAATCGGAATTGATTCCATATAAATAGTATATTAGTGTATATGTTCTTGTAGATCTGGTGCCAATTTTTCTTCATTCTCTGCAAAAGTAAGGTTGCACTTGAAAAACCAGCACATGTAGGGTACCCTTTGTTTTAAGGCATGTGATGAAAGATGCAGGTGCCAATTAATTCCAACACACAAACAGAACATAATGTAACCAAAAGCTGTATAGTACAAGGACAATAACTTCTCTATAACTATGTCAAGGAAAGCATGTGCTGATAGATGTGGTCTCCAATTTAAATAGAAACTGGATCTACAAGTATATTTATCATGTTAAACGACAAGGCACGAACGTAGACAAAAAGCATAGTCGGAAAATTTCTCTGTGGGTCCTCTAGTATAAATTTGGAGAGCATGAGGTAAATAATATACTCATCATTGCGTTGAATAAGGAGAAAAATTAGCGAGAGTTGAAGAAGAAGAAGAATTAGAATTGAAGCAATGAGAAAATACACTATGGTGTATATGATGAGAGGTTCCAGTCCATCCCGGCAGGAATATAAAACGGCTAAAAGCATAACCTAGACTCATCAAGATTACAAACGACGTATACTCGGTCGCTATTTCAATAGTTGTAATGCAGTCCCCTTTACATTGTCTATACACCATTAACCACTGCTTCAGCATTTCCATCTTCCATAATCTTGCCGTTGATTTGAGTTCTTGGCCTCTGGAAATTTTGGTGATAAGCAAATTTAAGAAACTGTTCCATTGGCTAAGCAATCCAAAAAAAAAACTAAATTACCTTGTCGGAGGGATCTCCAGAATTTCCATTCAAGAGTCTGTAATTTTCTTCCTTTGTCCTACCATCCTTGCTCAATGGAAGCAACATTGTTGCAGGTCTGCTAGACCGATCAGGCAGTTCTACGAAATTAGAACCCAAGTCAAAACATAAACATTAAAGCAGATATTAGGCCTTATAGAAAATAAACAAATGCTGACCTGGCAACTTTTTGTCGACATAGAACACCACCAAGTTAACCGTATACCTGTAACACAATCACGTGTTTGGAAGTACATCAGACCGTGGTACCACGTTAAAAACTACAAGCTATATAATTGGAAGTGAAATGATTTACCATGCCACAACGACATCAACTGTGTAGTGCTTATGGGATGCAATGATCAACAAGCTTTGGATCACAGCAGTTAACCAAGCACACTGCTTTACAAACCTGCAGTATCGTGCCAATAAATACGTCAACTTCATAGAACCCGGGACATAATGGGGTATCTATTCAATTTAACTCAAAATTACGATTGTATTCCCTCTCTCTTCCTTGTCCCCAGGATTAACCTCTACTATTACAGATAAATCCGTAAATGCTATAGTTTTGTTAACGTGAAGAGATATTGAACTCCCAAAAGTCCAATTACAGAACTTCCCATAAACACATAATGCTTCAAATTTCCAGAGACTGATTAAGGCATAAGTTCATGTATAAGTAATTTATTTCTAGAATTACTTCAAATATCTTCCTTCCCCTGTATTATGTGTCAGACATTACTTCCACATAACGAAATATAGCCCCTATTTGGTAGGTAGGGATTAAAAGCAGATTTTGACAAAAGTTGATTAAATGTGTGGTTGAAAAATTGTGCGTCCCATAAAATAAATGGTTAAATTAAATGTTGACTTTGATTTAAATTAAAATCTGGTTTAATTTCTACCAAACAGGGGCCTAATAAAAGGTGCATTTTGCTAATACCTCTGGGTGCCATATTTATGGTATGTCCGCACAAAGACTAGAGAGAAAATCATGTGAGATGAAAATATCAAATCACCACAACCATAAAGCATACCCCTAGGAACTGCACAATCATAAAAAAATTGAGCATTAAAAACACACACACACACACACATTTATGAAACTAGACAAAAGGGGAAATAAGGCAAACGTCACCTATTAATAGAACTTCTAACGTGCTATTGGGACGTGGCAGCCTGGCAAGCTTTGAGCCCTATATCATAAGGAACAGATTTTCAATGCTAAATTGTCCAGCCAACTTTGAAATTCCAGGGAAAAAACAATTATGCAAAATTTCTTCAGAGGAAACTTAAGGTCATCAAAAACTGAAATGTTTTACCTCACGACAATGATAGTTTGGACCAGGGAGTTGAGTGGAATAAAAAGTTATTACCCGAAGAATTTGACAAGCCTGTAGCAACGTATAAAGAGGAAACTATTATGATAATGTTAAAAATGAGTTATCTTACAAAATACATTAAATGATGCTGCTTATAGTAGGATCTATCTTTTCATAAATGTGAAGGTTGGATTATCATGCACATCTCTATTCAAAATTCAAATGATGTACTAATAGATAACCCATGACATTAAAATAAATTCATAAATATGACCATCTAGGGTGAAACGTGGTAAAAGATCCAGTATTGTTTCCCACTCCAACCAACTCCGAATTCACGTACAAATAATATTCGAGAAACAAAGAAAATCTATACTCACAACTAGGAATGCCAGGACCCTGCACCATATCAGAACTGTGTAAATCTTCTTGCTCTTGAAAACAAAGGGATGGAAAGTCCACTGCAACAGAACATCAACCATATTTACAAATACAAAAGATTGTGATCTTCACAAAATGATAATCAGAAGAAAATCAAAACCAAAGGACAACTCACCAAGACAAAAAGTAGAAACACGGAGGTAAATACAGTTTCACTTATATAGGCTTTGTCTTTTCCGAGCTCCTGCAAATAAGAAGTTTGTAAATGAGTTCTCTGAGAGTTAGCAAGCATCCATTAGTATTAGTAAGCAACATGAAGTACAAAAACATAGTTTTCTTACGGGAAGAAGAAAGAAACCAGCATCCTGAAGTGTGGGTCCTGGCTGATGTATATAATGAACACCTCGAGCAGCCAGTCCATGGATGTACTGATAAAAGGACATGTTACACATTAGACATCAAGAAACAGCATATAAGCAGAAGAAAAGCCAACAAAATGAAGAAAAACTGATAAAATTTGGATTAACACAAAACTAAACTTAAATTCCAGCATACCGCTGACGTTTACAGAAATCTTTCATCAAAGGAAAAGTCCAAATAGAATCAATAATCAATGAATCAGTTAGGAAACAATAAGAGTAGAAGATACTAAAACTGCACCATGGCAAGGGACTTTCACGAAAGAAACTACGATTTTACGCAAACACAGACCAAGGTACAGAATAAGAGTGAATCTGAGGTTTTATAAGCAATAAATAGCAGAAACAGCTGCTCAAATGTTGCCAAATGGCCAATAAAATCCCCCTGCTTCTTTTGGTGAAATGAAAACACCAGCTCGCCATGATTCAAAAGCTGAATCCACAATAAATCACATATAGCGTTGTCCCATAACCAGAATAAAATTGAGAAAAAAAAATGTAAAGTTCAGCCACATCATCTCCAAGAATTGAGCATGCACAAAATGCATGCCCCGGAACTTTAATCTAAGAAACACAAAAGTATAACTTTTCTCCAAAGTCAAAAGTTGGAAAATGAAGTAGAAACATAAAGAATTAAACTCAAGAAGAAATTGATCGATGCAATTATAAACATATACATACAAACCTGACAGATGAGACCCCCTAAAATATACTTCCAGTTCTCTGCAAGAAGATTAATTTCTGTCGCAGTCTCCGCACAAAATCTCTTCCATAACTTCTCATCACAAAAACAACAATAATACATCAATAAATAATTCTAACAAAACAAACAAAAAAAGGAAAAATAAGAACACTTCTTTTTCTGAAAAGCAGAAACCTAAGTTAGCATTTACATGGAAAGAGAAAGTGAAGAGAGAAGAGACGAACCTTTGAAGCCCCGCGACCAATGTAAAGCGACATCTTCTATGTATGTGCGAACAAACAACACTTCCATATTACATCACAACCAAATTATTTCGAAGGTCAACATCTTCATCTCCGTTTACGGGTCATAACGCTCATTCTGTGAAGAAGTGACCAATTCATCACATAATACCGCTCAAAAACTCCTTCAAGATCGGATAAAGTAAAAACCCAGTTGCTAAATCCACGATCCTTCAAGATAATGATTGTTTCTCACGATGGTTGTGCCAAAAAAACTGAATTAATGATTAATCGAAATCCACACTTAACAAACTTCAAAAAGGGAGCTTTTTTCTCTCTCTAGAAACAGTGTTGTCCGATGCTCTTCCTTTCTCTCTCTTCTAGTTTCTTTGATTTCTCTTTCCCTTTAAATATGCATACTGAAACGCGAAATGAACGCGGCGGGACAGTTGCTTCACTCTCTCCCTCCTAAAAATTAACAGGGAAAAATTAAAAATTCTTACCCGGTAATATTCTTGCCTTGTTTGTGATTTGTTTAATTAAGGTATAACATACATGTCAGCATTTTTAAATGACAAATAGTTGGTAAAGTCGAATTCATTTGACAATCCGGCCATATCTTGCGCACTACAAAACTGTGCATGGTTGATAGGGATTAAAATTAAATTTTTAATAGATTTTAAAATTAATTATTCTAATTGTCATTAAACTTATGTCTATATCTTCGATTGCTCACTGAAATTTAAGATGACCAGTTTTGGTCACTAACTTTATAAAATGTTGGACGTTACTCATTGACTAACTTTTGTTTCAAAATATCTAACGAAATTGGTGACATGGCTGACGAAATGATGATGAGAGGTTTGATGAGTTCTATGCTAAA